CGCCATTTTTAGAGCCAGAAATTGTGCAGTGTATCGTGGCGATTGCTCAACGAGCGGGTGTCTTGACTATGCGAGGAACTGCTTTCTTCGTTCTGGGTCTCATCTCTCGGAGCAAGCACGGTTTAAGGGTGCTGCGAGACCTAGGCTGGGACTCGGCCATTGATCAAAATGGCGAGTCACTGGGTTTCTGTCTCCCGACAGACTTCCGTCAGCTTTTCTTGGTAAGATCGTTGTCTCGTGTTGAATGGTTCAGAAGCTAACTTCATCAGATCTCTTTCCCGGGCTACAAATCAAATTCGCGACGTACCCCGCAGGCTAAAATCAAGGAAGCCACGAGAGACGACGACCCTATCAATCAAAAGATCCTTAAACTCATCGTCGACATGGGAAACACAGTTCTGTCCAAGCGATCAGCGACAGACTTGCACAGGTATGCTACTCCCCCGGAATGACTCTTTTTTTAAGCACGCAATCTAATACAAACCTCCTACAGCCTAAAATCCAAGCAACCCGAAAAATTCCATCAAGTCCACCTCTTCCGCAAAGCTCTTTGCATCCTCGAGAGTCATCATTACCGGTTACCAGCCCGACGCTTTGCTATAGATCTTTTCGACAAGAGCGTGATGAGGCGAATTGTCCTCGAAGAAGACTCCGAGTCCGACTCAGATTCCGTCTCATCCACATAGACCTTCATCGGATCTACTGGATAGACCAATTTTCCATTTTTCTTACCCTCCTGACTTTACGATGCTCCTATCCTGCACGGACATGTGCCCCTTTTTCCTCGGCTACCCTCTCATAGCACGATTTTGTCATCTTTGAATCCTTGCGCACCCGCGATTCGAGGATTTTAGCAATTCCAATCTCTGATCACACGATTTGGCATGGTGATCAGTTAGTTGTTGCGCGATATGGCGTTCTTTATTCTTTTTTAACTTGCTTGTGTGCATCTGTATCTGGCATGGCGGCGGTTTGGCCTTTGGAATGAGACACGAAATGATATCAAATGCATATTCTACAAACTACATTGTAAGCTTTCGACTGATTCGCCTATCGTTTGGCTCAAATGCCTGTGCAATTAGCGCCGGAAGAACCGCATATTCATCGAGTGGATTGAGGATTCTTGGTCTTTGAAATCTGGCTACCTTATAGGTCCGGTTGACTACATCCAGGATTTCTGTAGTGCACAAGGTTTTCTTCCTCGGAGATTGGCTACACTGGAGTTGGCAACTCAATTAACAAGATCGAGGAAAGGATGTCAGGGAAGTTTTCATCCATTGTATCTTTAGCCTTTGGGATCAGTGAACCTCGGTCTATTTCCACGTGTGGCCTCCTCACAAAGCTAAGGTTCCTCCCACGGCCCAGATTATCTAAAGTTGACCCGCTCTGATCGCCGATCCCCAACCTTCTAATGACTCGCATCCCGACATCGCCCTCCACTCTCTTTCAACTACCGCCCCGAATGCGTCAAAGACTTCAAACAACTGTATCTCCCGCCTGATAGTTCATTCCTGTGGACCCGGAGCCATGGAGAATGTAGATGCGCCGTCCTCACCAACCCCGCAGGCGGCCGACGCCGGTCCCGATCTGACTTCTGCCGCCAGCTCGGACGTGTCGAGCTCCGAAGAGCATCTCCCTCGTATCCTCGATTCTCCCTATCTCGTCGTACGCTTGATTCAATGCCAGCACTGTTCCCGCCCTCTGCACACTCCGCTCCGACTCCCTTGCGGCAACGCGATTTGTCGATCGTGTCTACCGGCAGTTCGTCCCCGCACGGGCATTACATACCCAGTAGCGGAAGGCAGAGAGGAGGGATTTACATGCTACTGGGCGGGAACTAGCAATTGTGTTGGTGAGCATTGTGTTGGAGATTGCGGTGTGGATGTCGTATTGTGTAATGTGCTGGGACTTTTTCAAGAGGAATTAGCATTTCCCATGCCGGATGCCGAAGAGCCGGGGGATCCTGATGACAACGGTCGGGTTGTTCGCTGGAAAGTCCACCAGAAGGAAATAAACTCGGTGGAGGCTCAGAGTGCTCATCTGAGTCAACGTGGGTGGCTATGGGGTCTATATCTCCTCGCCTGGGAAGGCCGACTTCCCTGTAACGCGACGGAGGTCGTCTATGAATGCTCGACGGAGAGCGCAGAGGAGCGTATCCATCAGCAAGATGATCAAATCCGCTTTGAGAAGCTCACAGACAGGCTCCGTGCCGAAGTAGATTGCCAAGTTTGTTACTCCCTTATACTGGACCCCCTGACGACTCCCTGCGGCCATACCTTTTGTCGAAAGTGCGTGGCGCGGGTTCTAGATCACACCGATCTGTGTCCTGTCTGCCGGCGAAAGGTAGGCATGCCGGCTGCTGTTCAGGCGGAACCCTTGAATCGCACCATCACGCAGATCATCGACCACTTCTTCGCTGATCAGGTTGCGGCTCGGCGCGAAGCTGATGCAGAGGATGAGGCGGGAGGTGATCATGAGAAAGATCTACCCCTCTTTGTATGCACTCTGTCATTCCCAACCATGCCGACTTTCCTGCACATTTTCGAACCTCGGTATCGGCTGATGATTCGGCGTGTCGTGGAGAGCGGAAACGGCAAGTTCGGCATGGTCATGTATAACAGACGGGGCCGAGAGCAGGGAGATGGACTAGGCAGTACGACATTTATGCAATACGGTACCCTCCTCATGGTCGAGCGCTATGAATTGTTACCAGACGGCCGCAGTCTCGTGATTGCCACGGGTGTATCGCGATTCAAGGTCCTCGAGGCCGGGGAATTGGACGGCTATCACGTTGCAAAAACAGAGCGTGTTGATGACATCTCTCTAGCAGAGGAAGAGAGGCTGGAAGCGATGGAAACAGCAGCTTCCGTGATCCCAGATCCAACAGACCCAATCACAACCGAGCCTGCGTTGGATTCCATGTCTACTCAAGAACTGCTCGACCTCTCGCGCGACTTTATTCGAAACCAGCGACAATCTGGCGCGCCGTGGCTTCATCCACGAGTGATGCTAGCCTACGGGCCAGTCCCGACGGATGCAGCCCGATTCCCGTGGTGGTTTGCCAGTATCTTGCCCATCGCCGAGGAAGAAAAGTATCCCATTCTCTCGACGGTGAGCGTCAGGGAGCGATTGAAGCTCTCCGCACGGTGGGCACGGGAGCTGGAATCTCGAGATTGGTACGGATTCCTCGCGAGCTATTTGTGATGTGCACAGCTAACCTCGCTTTATCTAGGTCTACCCATTCATCACTCAATTCCGTCTTATGACTAGCCGTCCCCCTCCTCATTCTTTGCATGATACCGTTTGTTTTCAGGCCGTTCTCGGCGCTTTTGACCGCTATCACACCCAATATTTTGACATCGTTTACGCCGTTCTCCCTTTCGATTTCAGTATCATTCGGTGGTGCCCAACCTCTATCTTTGGACAGAAACCAAAACGAACAGACGAATACACCTACAACGCAATCATCAGAGACATATATCCCGCAAAAACTCGTTATTGGCGCCTTCTTGGTAATATTCCTTGCGCAAGTGGGCGCCAACGTCTTGCAGATGATGCGAGGCGGTCGACGGCGAAGACAAGCGATGGAGCTGCAATTTCCACAACCTCTGCCTCAGCTTAATAGAGGTCGAAATTGAGGAGAGGGGGTCAGTGCTACTAAAAAATGAGGCACTTTAAATCAATATGTGGGGCTGGACCCCGACTCTCGGCCTTGGGCTTCTGATATGCCATTTTATTGGCGATATCCAGTACCTCCCGGGGCTGGGAGGTATCACGAACTCATCACGACTGTCCTTACTTTACAATTTCCCTGGACATTTCCTCCTTTCCTTTTCATGTATATTCAAGGCGCTCTTTTTTTTTCGAAACAGGGCTCGGGCAAACTTGGACAATTCCGCTCAGGTGTATTTAGGCACAGACAATCTACCGCACAAAAGCATGCTGTTCATATTGTATAATGAACTATCAAACACGAGTTGACTCTTTGATGAAACAAAATTTAACCTCTCATGGTATCACTTAGAGGACCTGCCTTGATGCACGGTCTCGACGACAATATACTCGGAGGACGGAATGTACATAGAACTTTTTAGGTGAAAAGTTCTATTGACTCTTCCTACGATGAGGTGATTAGAGAAAGGCAATCCATATTCCGGCTAGTTTCACATTCATCATCTGTCCCCTTTGCTAGTGACTTACCTCCAAAGTAAAAGGATACTTGCCCGGCAGAGCAAGGATGAGTGACGTTCACACCACCCATGTCCCATATATATCTTGAAACTCTTTCTACTCATGTAGGCACTTGACAACCTTTCCAATCAATCACCTAAAATTTATTTATTGCTCAAATCAAGTGTCAATTGATTAAACCCAAGTACAAAAAAATCAATTGACACCACACCTTCTCCGTATGCCAATTTCTGTCCCAACCACTCACCTCAGTTCGACTCCCATACTCTCCCACCCAGAATGAAGAAATAAAAAACTCCAAAAAAGAAATGATCTCAGGTTATTTGTAGGAATAGCCGAACGCGGGGGTCGAACCCGCAACCTTGAGATTAAGAGTCTCACGCTCTACCGATTGAGCTAGCCCGGCAGGGCTGGTTGAACAGCGAGGTGTTTTATGGCTACATGAGCCTGTGTGGAGTGGAGACCGGCCGAGTTGAGTTTTGCTCGGTTCCGTAATTTGGATGAGATGATTATGTAACATCAGATTCGCGGGCCTCAGGCAGAAATATAACAATGTATGCCCAACTAATTAGAGAACATAATCCACACTAATTCGATAATACTAATAGACAGCGGTAAGATTCTAGTTAGTATTATAATTAGCAAGTGCGAAGATATACAGGTCAAATCTACATTGAATTGGGAAATAGATGAGAATCCTCGAAGGGCCATTTGAATACTAAGGAACAGTTTGGTATCGGATGAAACCAGCTTGAAAATACGTCACAGAAAATGAAACCTCTATATCCCAACAATAAGACAATAACACCCTAGTTAATCACATTCGCCTGTCTCTGTTCAACTGGCAGAGGTGTGACCTTCTCGAAACCCTCGAGCTTGTCCACCTTTTCTGGCTTCTCCTTGGAAAGGAATGCGGAACCCAGAAGATTGAAAGGATTGTTCACACGAAGGATCCAGCAGTAATACAATGTGAACCCAACAACCACAATCTCATCACGGGCAGCGTCATCGAGAGCTTTGGGCCCGAGCAACTCAATCTTTCCAACCTTCTTCAAAGCCCACATGTTGGCGGAGAACCTAGCCACGGGCTGTTGCTGTTCGTCGACACAGATAAAGTCCCAAGTCTTGAAACCACTCTTACTCGTCCATGTCATCTTGGCTGGAGCGCCCGTAGTAGAGAAGGTGGTAGACACGTGGGTGTAGACCGTGCGGAGTCGTTTCTGGGCTTTGAGTGTTCCCTTGACACCGTGGAGCTGGTAGTCTGGACTAATGCTGATGGCATGGGCAGAGCCGGTTCCGATGATTTGGTCATTCTGAGGCGTCTTGAAGGTCAAGTTGTTTGTGATGATGTTGCAATCGACGGTATATAATGGCGTCGGGTTTGATTCGTTGGTGTCCGTTATGAGGGTCTTGAGCTTTCGCCATGTAAAGTCTACCGCCAAGGTGCGGGATTGAGAAGTTGCCTCGTGAGGGAGGGAGGTTGCATATGTTTGATCCATTTTGTGCTTTGAGATATTGATGGACTTAAAGGTTGAGAAGTAGTAACAGTAGAAGATGATGATGATGATGATAATGTTAAGTCTATCCCGAGGACAATGAAGCAGCATTATATAGCAATTGCAGTTGCCATCATCTTGAAGCACAGCTCTATTACGATGCCAAGAAACTAACCAGATTCGGTCCTACGCACCGCTCTGATAACTGCAGAGGATAAGCTGGACGCTGATCTCACCAGCCTAAACGTTAAATCAGTGGGGGCCGAAGAGCCTTGGCGAGTTAACATCCCGAAGTTAATTCAGCCCTGCCACAGAAGCCGAGCCGTGGCTTGCAGATGGAAGAGAACAGATCCAATCATATCTCCCATCAACGAGTGAGAATGTGGATTGAATATGCTAAATGGCGACACGCGATCGCGTTTACCCGATTGAGCGGGATACGCCGCTTAAGCCAATAATCGTGTGAGGCTTAGTAGAATGATGTCATCCTCTTTCCTCAGGGTCCAAGAGCGATGGCTTAAGGAGATGTCCGGATGAGCTTATTATTGTTCTAAGTAAGTTTCCCCTAATTTCTTAAAGGAGGTTTATGATATTTGAACTAAGATATCGCCACCGCTGAGACTCCTCATATTCTGCTTTAAGCATAGCGTATCCGCAATCTCGTCCATCGCTTGAGATGTATGAGATGATAAGTGTTTGCCACGGGCCCCTTTTGGGGTTTAAACAATGCATATACGGACTGCTTGGCACTGTGGTACGAAGCATTAGCTAACCATCGGGCATAAACCTAACATGACGTATGACTGGTGTGGTTGCTATCGCCCCTACGAGACCCCGGCAAGATGAAAATAGAACACTGTTTCCACAGAAAAGTAATTCGATCCGTTTCAGCTACATACTGCCAACAAAAATTTGAAAGATAAGATATCAAAAATCCATTCATACGCTTCAAGCGCTCAAGCCGAGTTCCAGCTCTGGCAATGAGAAGAGCTCTCATCTAGTTGAGAGATCCATCTATGAAATACGCAAGTCGATCCGCTCTGGAGCAATGCCCACCAGATGACGGTAATTAACCAGCCAATTGGTCTATTTTGATGATATCCTTGACCAGCTGCAGCGCGACCGAGGTACCCGCGTTGCTACCAATGCTCTGAAGACGCTGGATGATCCACTTCCGGGTCTCCTTGGTCGTGACTGCGCACTTCCCTACCATGTAGAGACTCCAAGTCAGCATATAACCACCCGAGATGTTGCCGCGGAAGGAGAGATCGAGGGACGGGCGAGGATCAGATGGCGAAGATGACAACTCCATAGCCTGGGGAATGGTTGCGAGAAAGTCGTTTCCTAGCTTGGATAATGTTTGTAGCGTCTCCTGGAGTCTATTGTTCATACCGCTGTGGAGGGTCAATGCAAGATCTTGACCGAGAAGGTCGTTCAAGAGGTAACATATCATCTCGCAGAGGATCATGTGCAAGTTTCGTGCGTTGTTCCAGACCCTGATCGCCCAGATGTCTCTATAGCGGTCAACTCGGCCTTTGAAAATGATGCTTGGATCTCCACTAGGTTCCTGAGTCGTTGTGTAAGGTTCTTCTATGGCAAGGTTCTCAACTGTATGCTCAAAGTCACGCTCAATCGATGTGGCTTCTTCCAGAAATTCAGCAGAACGGCCTCCCCCCATACTTGATCTAAGGGCGAAAAGCAGATTGGCACACCGGGTGCCTAAGATCCCTATTTGCCAGAACGCACTAGAAGTATCAGTATGCTTAGCTGCTTCTTCCTGCAATTCAAGCATATCTCTGGGAATTGGCTTAGTGCCATGGAGACTGGCAATCACCAGATCGGCGCGTACTTGACTGAACATGCGAATTGTAACCGGGCTAGAGAATTGACTCTTACCCCGGGCAACCAATAGCGCTGCAGCACCTTCGACGTGTCGAACCCAGGTTTCAAAACCGGAGACTTGCTCAAACATACCCAACGAAATCACCGACATCAACGTGCTGTCTTTGATAGACTCGGAAGGTGATGCGAGCGCTGTGTTAACATTGCGTATCGCCTCCAAGTATTTGGCGCGCGCATGGTTAACCAGCTCAGGCTGTTGAGTTGAATTAGCCAACGCCACAAGGCCCACGGCTGCTAAGCTAGCCACTAGCGTTGGATGCTCTCCGTCGTTCACATAGACAGATGGAATATAGTTCAAATATCCACGGGAAGAAGACTGGCTGCCAAGGACAAAATTGCGGAGAAAATAATTGATGCCAATCTCGTCAGGATTAGGGCTCAGCTCACGGGCTGGGGGCGGCACATCATTAGCCCTAGCTGTGATCGCGCTCATAGCCCTTTTCTCCTTAGTACGTTTGATGGTTTGGTCTGTCTGGTCGCGGAAGACCAGATCCCACTCATCGCGGTACCCGGGGCATGTTTCACGCATGCGAACGCACTGTCCGCAATGGGGACGCTGCTGATCGCACTGCGAGATAGGACAGGGTTAGTATGAATGTTGTAGACTCGGGAACATGCAAAGGAAAAGAAACCGGGAAGACACACGCGTCTCTTGACAGCCCGGCAATTCCCACAATTCCTGGAGGTTCTTGCGCGAACTGTCTTGTGCAGGGACATGGCTTTAAGCTCGGAGTAGAGCACTGACAAGAGGCAATCGAATCTCAAAAGTGACCAAGCAACGATCAACTTGAATGAAACTTAATATCAACAAGCTCTTGTCCTGGAAATGATATGATGATGCTTGCTTGAAGCTCAACTGTCGGCGGTTTGACCTCAGAGTATGGCCCCCAACAGCTTCAATTGGCCCCCAAACCACATTAGTGCATCAGGGGCGGGTTGGGGGCCTTTTGGAGACTCACCGCTGGGGCCATTATTGACTCATTTGCTGTTGGCTGTACAAGTGTCTAGCCTAAAAGGATCAGCGAAACATTTACCCAGGCCGATAGGCGACAGGCGATCATACACAGCCTCCTAAGGCTGAAATTAATAATAGAGACCAAAGGAACGGGCCGATTCTCGAGTGCCGCCGAACTCCCCTAAACCCCTTCCCCAAATTTCTCTTCCCCTGACTTCCACTGGCCAAGACAAACATGGAAGAAATCCTTCAATCTTTGACCGCAGGGAAGATCCATGAACTGTTAGTGGTTTGTGGGGCTGGTGACTGCAACGATGAGCCCATCAAACAGCATATCCTTGCTATTTCGAATTTTGGTGAGCTCTCGAATCGCGGCTTCGGAAAAATTGTATTGATGGTGTCATCGACACCTGCGCAGAGGAAGCAGAAAGGAAGGGGAATCTGAATCAATGTCTCTATCTAGACTATGATGAAGATGGATCTAGAGAAGAAGAAGAAAAAGAAGAAGAGAAAGAAGAAGAAGAGAAAGAAGAAGAAGAGAAAGAAGAAGAAGAGAGAGAAGAAGAGAAAGACCTAAATAGGTCTACAAGACAAAGAACAAAGCGCCGGTCCTGGAAAGAACCATCAAACCTGCAGAGCAATCTATGCAGGTGTAAACGGGAGGACGCATGACCAAACGACCGAGTAGTCGAGGTCAATAGGGTCGAGTCATCATGTATACTGGCGCATTGAGGTTCATGATCAAAGGCTGCAGGTAGGACTTACAGATCCACCGCTAGTACTTACACCCCGACAAAGCCCGATCCCGGATGTAGCGGCGAATGAAAAGCGTGGGTCATACCGATTCTTGTTAATATTAGATAAACGAGGCCGGCGAGACTATACAGGGCTAGATAGGTCGTCTACGAAGAAGAAAAGGAGATGCAAAGATAGAACTAAGGTTAGCTATATAGCGAATGATACGCAGAAAGTAAAAAGCGCTATAGTAACTCTAGAAGGGGGTACGTCTCTCCCGTATCCCTCGATGGGTAAGAAACTAGCTAAGATTAGCCCCTACCTCTAGCTTTAGGCGCTCTCTAACTTGCTAGTCCTCTCCATAAATACACTAGGGGTCAAAACGGTTCTAAGTACCTGATAGGCTGTCATGATATGATAGGCTGACAATGTACGTAGTGGACATCGCGAAATAGGGGGTTTTGCCTTGGTAGTAGTGATCATTGTTTATTTTAATGTTAAATTTGACCCCTATTCATATATTAATTTTGCCTGTCCTGTGTTGGCAGGGTATCGAAGTTAAGAGGTGGGCAAGGCGGTCTAAAAGGGATTTCAAACTTCCTAGGACAGACAGTAACAGCGAGGCAGTGTGGACTTGATGCCGGCCGCAGTCTAGGGCAGATTAATGGAAGTCCTTCCCGTAATGTCCCAGGCCATCACAATCTTGGAACTACATATGCAAGTTCGCTGGCTATTGAGCTCCGGGGCCCGCAATTACTCTGATAATACCGTCATCCTTTGCATTAAATTTTCCGGCGATATATCTGTCGCCTAGATCCGTTGACTTCTTATTTGGGTCTCAGTACCCGCGTCTATTCGTTGCTAACGGATGTAGATTCTCATTCTGCCGAGGTTAAAGGAATAGCGCCGCCCCCCGCACCTTTCCTCCTCACTACCTCACTTCGGCGATAGATCTCTCTCAAGGTGCCCCTGCCCGGAACGCCAGCCTTCAACGGGTGAACGTAGTTTAGAACATGACGAGTGGCCGGGCACAACAGCAGTCCAATGGGTTGCAGCAGCTGGACTTGGCCGTATATCCTTTGCAGCCTAAGCGCGTCACCCGAGCGTGTGATTCCTGTAGAAAAAAGCGAGTGAGTCCCCGTTCCACCCCCCTCCCTCCTAGATTCAGCTTCATCAGCGCTGACAATATGATTCTCTACTAGATTAAGTGCAGTGATGGTCAACGACCGTGCATGAGCTGTTTACTCTACCACTCAACCTGCACCGACTCTTCGTCAGCCGCTCCTACCAGGGTACAAAAATCCAAACGAACTCAGTCACTTGCTTCCCGAGAGTCTCGACAAGTTCGGGATCAAGAACTGGAAAGCAGCCTCGGGGGAACGGGGGATTTACCGGAGTCATTGAGATCGCGACAGACACCAACGGTTGTATCGGTAGAAGATAACATCGGGGTGCAGCACGTACGACATGACCATGATGTGGAGACAGCAGACGACTTGTTTCCACCTGGCCCAGACCAAAGCCCAAGGTTACAAGGGCTTCTGTCATCTTCCGATCCCTGGGACCCTAATCTTTATATGCCCGATGTTTTTGATTTTACTGATTCACCGAGTATACCCGGTATTCCGGCCAACTTTCCACAATTCAACCCTACTTTGCATCCAAATGAGCGACTGCTGACTCGATGCGCGAGTGAAGAAGCTCACATGACGACTCGTCCGATAACGCCAAGCACAAGACAGCCCAAAGTTGCAGGCATACATTTCTTGAAGGACGGACTACCTTCTGGAGACTTTCCGTCCCTACTCCCAGGACTCTTTTTGAAGAAGGATTCCTGCGAGAGTCGGTACCAAGGCTTGAATTCTATTGGCGCGACTTTGTCGTCATGCCTAGTTTATGCTAGGAATCACTCCCCCGAGTTTGGAGAGCATAGACTTCTCCAGTATCTTATCCACGGTATTACCTACATGGATGAAGCCAACAAATGCGTTGCGCCAAGAATAGATCCTCAAGATCTTCCGGATCGTTCTCTTGTGGAGTATGGAGTCGACTTGTTTTTCAAAAACGTTTACCTGCGGTATCCGATCGTCAGTGCAGAACTAAGGACGTCATGGATTCGCTGGTATGAAGGCTCTTCCAGCCCACCAGATCCTATCCAATTCCTTTGCGTTTGTCTCATGACCGCAATTGGAGCAATAATGCATCCCAGCGGCCCCACGGAAGAGATGCAGGCCAAAATTTCTGCCCTGCACCTACGGGCTTGGTCAATGATGGACTATGTGTTGGCCTACCCGTACACAGGGTCGGTGCAGGTAATTCTTCTTCACACATTGTACTTCACGCAGCAAGGCAAGTTGGGAATTGCATGGTCGACGTGTGGTACCGCGCTACGCGCAGCAGAGTCTATAGGTCTGCACCGACATACACCCGGCGATCTGCAGCTGAGTGACGAACTTGTTAGGCTCCGTGCAAGGTTATGGTGGACCGCCTATAGCCTTGACGCCTTTTTATCATTATGCGAGGGTCGGCCGACTGGGACATCGCCAGACAAAACAGACACAAAAATTGAGCCTCTTACGCCTGAAGAATGTTTTGATGACAGTGACTTGGTGCCAGGCCCCATGATCTATGCCTGGTATGTCAAACTGGCATGTATTGTGAACGAAGTCGCAGATATCATCGGCCGCGAGAAAACTCCGAATGAGTGCTTGTACCGCCTTGCAGAGTTGGACTTGAAGCTCATTGCCTGGCGCGACTCAATTCCTCTAGAATTTCGACCCGAGCAGGAGAACCTGGCCCCTGTCCAACTGCAGCATCACGTTGCTTGGTTACACGTGCAGTTCTTCAACGTCCTACGGACCTTGCACTGGACGTCAACTTTGCTTACTCACAGAAGAGATGAGATATTCCTTGCCGACGGGTACCCCCGGCTCCGATCAAGTGAGGCTATTTGTGTCGCATCAGCTCGATCCCTGATCAGGACATCGAATAGTGGGTCGGAAGTCTCTGATACCAGGGGACTTCGCATATTGGGTGTCCCGTCGGCATTTTTCCTGGCTGCAACATCCACCATTTTCATGCATATTTTGAAAGAGCCAAGACGCCTTTCTGCTAAGGCAGACGTCGAATATCTCCGAGCGGGGATACACCACTTGACTTCCACATACTTTGCAGCCCAGGTTGGGCAAGGCCAGGAAATCTTTTTGCAAATGCTACAGATTGCAGAAACTGCAACGGATTCGTTTAATTGTATGACTAACAGGGTAAATGTTTGAGATTGCTGAGGCGTTATGACAGGCGCAAAAGTCGTTTGTTATCCGTTGTCCAAGGTGCATTACCCTCTCCGGGTCATTACTAGCCAGATCGGGGTAATCAGCTATAGAAAATCCATACCTCAGTTGCACAATGCCCCTAGGAGAACCTATTTTTAGAGAACCTAGAAAGATAGTCGGACGCAAAAGTCGTACACCGGAACAGGAAAAGCTGTGAATGATATTGAGGACTAGCACCTCAATCACCAAGTCTATATGTCCCACCAGCGCGAAACTTTTACAGACTATTAAAGCAAATTCCATTTCTATAAGCATCTAAATTGGAACCAGGTGCAAAACAAAGGAGAAGTTCACATCCCATAAGATTTGGAGTTTCCCGGGCTTAATCGCGCAACAAGAAGGATGATAGCAGATCTTGGACATCTTGCGGCGACTGCACCTCGCCAAGAACGTGCTGATCGGGTCTAATCAGCAATCCCTTACCCTGGCTCGCGAGGCCGGTCATGTCGAGCCAGGCCTTGTTGTCACATGAGAAGTCCTCGGCAAGTCGCTGAATCTTCACCTCAACACCAGTCTTGCTGTCAACAAAGCCGGAGCTACAGGAAGGCAAGCAGTCCGCAGAACCTAGCACTGTAAACCCTAGGCCATCAACAAGGTCTAACGAGGATCTAGTCAGGGCCTTCTGGGACACCCAAGCGTGGGGCAACCGGATACCGGGAACACATCTCGGGGTGAACTCATTACAAGGCACGTCATCCCACGCCTTGCCGCCGTAGACATAACCGAGTTGCAGATTGATCGAATCAAAATGTTCTGCATCATTGGCAATGTCGATTGCAAATTGGTTTCTCCACTCAGTGTTTCGTTCTAGCTCTTCATCGGTGACAATTTCGGGTCTCGCTGAGAAAAACTTGTACACTGTTCGCTGATTCTTAGCGCTCTGGCGGGCATTGGCCATGGCCACTGGTCGTCGTTCGTTGTTATAAGTGTCGAGGAAATCCAGATTGGACCATCCCTTCTCCACTGCATTGATCTTCCAGGCCAGGTTCTGGGCATCTGCAATGCCCGTGTTCACACCGAGACCACCGGTGGGTGGGAACGCGTGAGCCGCATCGCCTAAGAGGAATGCCTGGGGCTGTTTCTTAGACCGATAAAAGTCCGCGATCCGGGGATGAGTGGTCCACAGCGTAGTAGAGAGGACTTTGAACGGGAACTCTTGGCCCATGGCCTCGTTGATCAATTTTGCACAATACTCGTCGGTGAATTTCGCCTTTGAATCCGGGTTTCCATCCCAGTTGGTCACATACACCCAGCTGTTTGATCGGTCGTAGGCGAGGAAGGCACCTTGTTGCTTAGCCCCAAAGACATACCAGATGATGCCCGACTTCAGATGCGACAGGTCAGCCTCGAAGTGAATTGTGACGTGATGAGACTCCTTGGTGGGACCGTCCGGGATCACGGAGAAGGGAATCTCCAGCTTCTCTCGTGCGCCGGAGCGGGCGCCATCACAGGCCAACAGATATTTGCTCGTGATCTGGAGACGGCGCATGGTTTCCCTCTCAATGACCTTGGACATCACCTGGGCGGCGGCGTCTTGCGGGCCGGTGCAGGACTCCCACTGGAAGCCGCGCTTGAGGGTGACTAGGCTTTCCTTGGAGATGACATCCATTAGCCATTCCTCCAGCTCGGGCTGGGGGATGTTGAACAAGGGCTCGGGGGTGATGGCCTTATTCTCCTCCCCCTGACGCTCAAACGGAAGTGTGCCCAGCTCGAGTCCCAGGGGGGACAGGCCGAAGCGAACCAAGTCGGCATCAACCGGGCGCGAAGCGACCCGACGGAGTTGAACGGTGTCCAGCCCAGCCTGTCTTAGGATCTCCAGGGAGCGTGGATTCACCGCATGCGCCTTGGGCTGGCCCAAGCGTCCGGGATATCGCTCCACAACCGTGCTGGGAATGCCATACCGGGCGAGGAGAAGAGCGGTGGTGAGCCCGACAGGGCCGCCGCCAATGATGAGGACGGGAGTCTCGAACGATTCAATTTCCACAGTCATTATTTTGTTCTCGTCTTGTGTTTGTTGGCTTGCGTACCGTCTCGTGGTGTACCGAGCAAGCGGATTCATTTATCATAGGTGACTGGGCATACTCTAGACTCCCCTTTTGGGACGCTTCCCCGGAGCACGCCCCCGCTGTGCCGATTTGCGGAGCTGTTCCACGGCTCCCCACGACTCGAGCGCAGCCTTCCGGGGTTCGCGCTCATTGGCGCGCGCAGCTCCAGGGTGGGTCAGGGCCCGGGACGCATCTGGGGCCCAGGTGCATATAAAAAACCCATGTCCGGGGAAGTCTGGGGAAGTCTGGGGAAGTCTGGGGAAGCTGTTATTTTCAGCACTTCCATTGGAATTTGCCGCCGCTGTTCTCAAGCCTTGCCATACTACGTTTCTTCTTCGGCGCAGCCATGAAGTCAGAAGACAACCAGGATGAGTTGCACGACATGAAGCACATCGAGCAGATTGAGACCGTGCCGGGCACGGAAATCCTGTTCGATTCCGACGGCGCCGCTGGTCATCTGTATGCGTATCTGCAGCATGTCGAGAAGAAGGGGCACCGGATCTTGCTGGTCCCGCAGCCGTCGCGAGTGGATCCAAATGATCCCCTGACGTGGTCCCGGCTGAAGAAGGCCATCGTCTTCGGCAATGCCTGTCTCTACAGTTTCCTGGGCGGTGTCACCGGCCCCATTATTGCAGCTGGTATGATATGCCTCTTGCGACCCGGCTGGGATCCCTTCTCTGATATGACCCCCGCAGGTATCATCCAGCTCACCGAAGTATACGACGCGTCCTTTCAGAAGATCAACATTGCTGTGGCGGCCAATCTCATCTGCACGGGTGTGGGCTGTTTCTACTGGATGTGAGTCCTCCCAGATGGAGTCCGTGAGAGAGGGAAACTGATTCCGGCAGGCCTTTCTTGGCCAAATTCGGTCGCCGGCCGACGTATCTCATCACCGCCGTGGTGATGTGTGCGTGTCTGATCTGGCAGGGCTTCGCGACCCGAACTACCTACACCTCCTTTCTGGTGGCCCGAATCATCATGGGCCTGGGCCAGTCACCCATCTACTCCATCGCACCGACCACTATCCGAGACATCTACTTTGTCCACCATCAGGGCGCCATGATTGCCTTCTATGGCCTGTCGGTTCTCGTTGCCGCTCAGATCGGCCCCATGCTGTCCTCGTTTATCATCTATAGTATCGGGCCCGCATGGTCGTTTTGGATCCTCGCATGTTGCTTAGGTGTCAACCTGATCACCATGTTCTTCACCATGCCGGAGACCATGTATTACGGCGAACGGCCCAAGGTCGCGCCCGCGGAGCCCGGCGATTTGGACACGGTGGGCCAGGTCCAGACGGTGGAAAAGCGGTCTTGGACCCGGGAATTAACCATTTGGCCCGGAGGCAATCCTACCGTGGACCTTCGTGCAATCTTCCTCAAACCCTTTATTCTGTGTCTGAATCCGATCATCATCTGGGCGAGTCTGGTGTACGGCATGTCGTTCATCAGTCTGACGACGTTGGCGGCCACGGCAGCGCAGATTTTCGGTGAAGCGTAAGTCCTTCCCTCCGGCGTATGAAAGCTCTGCCCCAAAGGGTCCCGGTGGCTAACTTGCGTTTTTACCTGACAGTCCGTACTTTTTCAACTCCATTGACCAGGGCCTTGTCTTCCTCTCTCCCTTTGTTGGCTCGCTGTGTGCGACCTTCTTCTGTAGCTATGTCGTTGATAAGATCGTGATCCGCGCGACTCAACGCAACGGGGGCGTCCGCGAGCCCGAGATGCGGCTGTTTTCTCTCCTGGTGGCTGCCGGCGTTACTGTGGTGGGATCCATCGTGTGCGCGCTCTGCTTGCATTACGAAACCCAGTACATGGGCCCCATCGTTGGATTTGGCATCATCACCGTCAGCAACCAGATCGGAGCGAACATTGGTATGTCCTATCCTCTGGACTGCTACCCCCAATCCACAGCAGAAGTGATGGTCAGCGTCACGTTCTTGCGATCGGTCGTGACCTGGATCTGGAACTGGTTCATCAACACCTGGCTCACGAACTGCGGCCCCTTGGTGGTGTTCCTCTCGATGGGTGCCATCCAGGTTGCTTTCCAGCTTTCAAGCATCGGATTCCTCGTCTGGGGCAAGAAGCTCCGAGTTGCGTTGCACCAGCGCCACATTCTCGGATCTTGAATGCTTCGTGGCTCGCTTTTTTGTGTCCTCTCAGTTTATAATCCCACGCGTGAAAATCACCCATCTGCTATTGGAATTGCGCAGGATTTATGAAACTCTGGAAACCATGTGTACATATGCTCAATTGATACTTTCTAGTTGTCAGGAATGGCCTGTATCAGCTACGAATTACCAAGGATTTACCATCCAATGAGAGCAACGGAATCAAAAAGGGAGGAAAATGTAGAGATAGGATGAAAAGAGTGTTGATTCTGATGTCCTAAACTATTAAACTTCATGGGGGTTGAAATACCCATGAGATTACCAGTGACTCGGTGGTTACAAATCTGTCGAGGAAGATGGACCGGTTATTTACGCCGGCAGCTGATTGGTTTGCCATGTGTCCACTCTTGTATGTAGTTTACAGCGTTAGTGTTGATGCTTGAGGAATTCGGCCATTCCAACCCCGAATCCCGTCTTTGTTAGCGAGGACAACTCAACGTGTCCTCGCCCATAGCAAATTTTGTATTCTTCTCAATCAATCAATCAATTCATCCTGTTTGGGTTGGTTCCGCCTGATCCTAATTCGCCAGAGCGTATACTAGCAGATACGAATAGCATCATATTTAACCAACTCCCCTCAAGCCAAATAGGTCCCTGTCTGTCTAATAAAATGATATGGAAATACTAGATCAAATCTCCTACCTGTAAATTATTTCCTACAGCGAAACTGTCTTGCAAAGAGGAACCCCAGTTCAGAGCAGGTCTATTCACTTAGGTTAGGCCATTTTAATGATGGGGATATCTAACACATATATACACGCAGCCCATAGAAAACACACGAAACCATAGAAACATGAAACCCTGAGCCTGGAAGGCTTTACAACTTGGCTGCAGGAGCAGCTGCCTCTTCCTTCAGCTGAGTCTTCAAAGCCCTGCGCAAGATTTTGCCGGTAGCACTCTTGGGGATCTGATCGACAAAGCGCACGCCGCCACGCAGCTTCTTGTAGGGTGCAACCTTGCCGTCAAACCACTTCAGAATATTGATAGCCTCCTGCTCAGAACTGACGCCGGATGCCTGGCTCTTGGCACACCGCACAATGAAGGCCACAGGAACCTCGGTTCCTTGAGACTTACTCTCGAATCCGACGACGGCGACATCATTGACGGCTTCATGGTCGGTAAGAATACCCTCGAGCTCTGCAGGTGCGACCTGGAAGCCCTTGTATTTGATAAGCTCCTTGACACGGTCTGTGATATAAAAGTTCATGTTCTTGTCCTGGTAGCCCACGTCGCCCGTACGGAACCAACCATCGGAGGAGAGAGCTTCGGCTGTTGCTGTTGGATTCTGATGGTACCCAATGAAAATATTAGGACCACGTAGGTAGAGCTCACCAACCTCTCCGGTAGGCACCTCGTGAGCGTCTGAGCCGTCTTCGGGTAAAGTCATATACTTAGCCTCCATGTTCGGCATCATCTTGCCCACGGATCCGATACTCGTACGCCACTCCTCCCATGTCTGGGTGTGGGTCGTAGGGCTGGTCTCACTCAGGCCGTAGCCTTGTTTAACCCCTACATTGATACGGGCATACACTGCCTCCACGAGCTCGGTCGTCAGAGGAGAAGCTCCTGAGTTCATCATGCGCAGGCTAGAGAGATCGTACTTTTCGACCACTGGGGCTTTGCTCAACAGCAGGAGAACAGGAGGCACGACGTAGCAAAATGTGATCCGGTAGTTCTGCACATAAGAGCACCATTTCTCAAGATCGAATCGCTCCATGACATAAAGTTCGTATCCTTGATACAGAGCTTGGTGGATGAGGCAAGTCAAACCTATAGAGGCTATTAGCATCCCAAACGGATAGGGAATCACATTAGAATCACCCCCAGTCATCTACTAGATCACCCAGGAAAGCGCTTACCGTAGATATGGAAAAAGGGGAGGAAAGCCAGAATTCTGTCCCCCTTGCCATCAGGGCCACCATTCCAAGTCTTTTTGCCACCTTCTCCCACGTCTAGCTGTAAGACGTTGGCGACAATATTTCTATGCGACAACATGACTCCCTTAGGCATACCCGTGGTTCCTGATGAGTAGACGAGGAAAGCCAGGTCTTTTTCCGGGTTGACCTTGGCCTTGTGGAACTGAGTTGTGCCGGAGATGTTAAAAAGAGAGGTGAAATGCTTGACTTTGCTTTCTGGATCGTGTTGGTCACCGATAATGATGATATGCGACTCAGGGATCCCCGCCTGCTTGGCGGCTGCTTTGGCATTTTTTAGATATGGAAGTTGGGTGACCAGAGCTTTCGCGCCGGAACTCTTCAACTGAGAGGCGAGCTCCCGGACCGTATACGCTGGGTTCGCCGGAGATATCACACCGCCGGCCCAATGAGTACCCCACATGATGATCGGGGTATCAATACTGTTGGGGGTGTATAAGGCGAGCACATCTCCCTTGCGCCAGTCGTAGACAGCCATCAGGCCCCTGCCAAATGCCTTTGTTCCATCTTCCAAGTCTTGATAGTTATAACGTCTGCGGGTTTGGGCGTCGTTGTAGATAACTATTAATCAGTCAATATCTACAATCATGGTTGGCGTGGGCGTGGACAGCAACTAATGAGAGCATACCCTTGTCATTCGGGAACTGTCTGTCTCCTCGTTCGAAGAGAAATGTCCAGAGGTCCACATTAGGGATCCTGATCGAGGGATATGGAGAAGAGACCGGCATAGTGAACGTGGACGTAACTGTAAGTGGATACTGCAGAGAAAGAGGAGACCCAAACAATCCTTCGTATAGAATGAGCAGAAAGGATCCCAAATAGAGCCAAAAAATCACCGAAAATTGATATAAGTAAGCGGTCAGCTCTCAACAGCGGCAGCAAAGATTCCAGAGCTCACCCCATCATATTCCGTGGAGGGCATCTTAGACAAGTATTGTATTTTTATTTTTCTTTTACCAGTCGCGAGATTCCGAGTGGCTCGTGCTCATGTGCTCGAACGCGAACCCCGGCTCCATTCCATTTTCGGTAATAGTCCGGGGAAGCTATTCCGGGGAGCGGGATTGAGCATAACCACCGATTGTCTCTTAGAGACCCACAATTGGTGTCGCCAGTTAAAGATAACAGGTTGAGAAAATAGAACCAGTCAATACAGCCAGCAACATTTTACGACCATCTTATCCAACTATTCGCACAATGCACGCGGTCGTTCAGGACCTGGAGATATGCATCATTGGGGCGGGGATCGGCGGTACTACCACCGCTCTGGCACTTGCAAAGCAGGGCTTCAGAAATGTCACAGTCTACGAGAGAGCCCCAGCTTTGGGGTTTGTCGGCGCGGGAATCCAAATGGCACCCAACATGGCTCGCATCTTAACGAAGCTTGGGGTATGGGAGCCCATCGCCGATGATGGGGTAGCTATGGAATTCTACAGCATCCGAGGTACGGCCCATTCATTCGTACGGACCCTGCATATCACAAATGGAGAACTGACAACCTTGAAGAGGGTGCGACTGGGAAAAATATGGGACTTGTGGATTGCAGCAATATTGAAAAAGACTATGGCTACCGTCAGACCGGTGGTCACCGAGCAACCTTGGTCAATAATCTTTATGACGGATGTGTGAAGAGTGGAGTGAAGTTCTGCTTTGGCTCCAGCATCGATACCACCCTAGACTTTACGGGCAGACCGACTTTTACGGTGACCACTGAAGACGGTCAGTCACGTCAAGTGCAATGTGACATTCTGCTAGGAGCGGATGGCATCAAATCTCAAACCCGTGTGGCCCTTCTCAAGCACCTCAATGTGACTGCGGGCGTCAGAGAGACTGGGCAAGCCGCATACCGTATCATGTTGACGCGGGACCAAATGAAACATGATCCAGAGCTTCTCGCTCTACTAGACGGAAACGAGACCATTCGTTGGATTGGAGAGAAGCGTCATATAGTCGCCTATCCTATCTCCCAACGGAGCATCTACAACATTTCGACCACGCAGCCCGATGTGAATTTTGCAGCTGAAGCCTCGGCGACTTATACCACGAAGGGTTCCAAAAAAGCAATGCTCTCTGTGTATGGCGATTTTTGTCCCCTCGTCTTGCGCATGTTGGACCTTGCACCAGATGAGGAGATCGTTGAATGGAAGTTGCATGTCCATGACCCTCTGCCTACGTGGGTTTATGGGTCTTTCGCTCTGATCGGCGATGCCTGTCATCCGACTCTGCCACACTTGGGCCAGGGCGCTGCCCAGGCCGTTGAAGATGGTGCTGTTCTTTCCATCTTCTTGGCTGCTCTCCCTGATGCCTCCCCCATTAATATTAACAAAGCTCTCGTGGCTTATGAACGGGCGAGGAAGACGAGGGCAGAAACCCTCGTCAACTTGGCTGCTGAGTCGTCTCGGGAACTTCATCTGGGAGTTGGCAAGGCACGCGAAGAGCGAGATCGACAATTTGCAGCAATGAAGACTGGCGTCCCAGGCAAGGTTCCGGATAAGGTCATGGATGTAGATGTCCATAGAATGACCTACGGGTTTGACTGTATGCAGGATGCGCGGGTCAAAGCTGTGTCGGTGCTTTGATATGACTGCTGGAATGAAACCATTATTAGATTAAACACGGCTTGACAAATGACAATTCCTTCATGTACGATGCAGCCGCTTCATTTTCAAGACGTCAAATTCCCCGACTGATAACCAGGCGATTATCGCATATGTAGAGCCACAGATAAGATGCAGTAGTGATGAAGCTAAATATGATAATGTGACCGATTGATTAATGAAGCCATATAGGCATATGCCGAAATTCAAGACCTGACAGGTGTAACAGGCTGGTGCCTGCGTGTGGTCTTGTGTATCACATGGCCTTTTCTGCTACTTGACCGCCCTCGGGAACGAGATAACATACCTCCTGCATGTTTTCCTTCCCTTCTTCACGCTTTTGATAGACAATGTCTGGAGTAGCTAGTTTGAATCAATATTAGCTTCAGCCCTTCACAACAGGAAAGGTATCTTCTGGATTCTATGGTTTATATCGAAAGCAATTTCTAATAAGTGTACAATAGTGGGAAAATAGGTCGATGGGCCAGGGAGTGGACAAGAAAGCCGAAGCGACCTGGACGCCAGATCCACGCGGAAAAAACCATAGGAGAAAGTAGAGAACGATGATTGATTGACTGGAAAGATTGGAGCTATTTGAAAGATACGATGTACAGGAGGCCGACCAGCCTGCGCCCTAACGGCAGATTGCAAACATAACATAAAGAGATCCCAACAGACTAGTACTCGTTGTAGCCCTTCTCTGGGTCATCTAAATACCGGGTCGTATCTATACCTGTTTCCTCCCTTACAGAGAAACCGTTACCCAAGTACCGGAAGCGATTGTTGCTGGTATAAGTGTAGTCCCAATCCTCATAGCGGACATCTGTCAGCATGTGGAACCAGTGGATCCGACTTCCAGGATGGACGGCAATCACAGGCCCATCAATCTTTCCATTCTTGAACCAGCTGCGGCACCGCGTGGCCCACGCTGTCCGTTTCATATACTCGGTAGTGTGGATTTCCATGTCCCGGATGGCATCAGCCTTAGGCGCGACCGCTGTGATACCTTGTGTTTGCATTTTCTTCATGAGGTTGATGAGATATTTGGTCGTGTGCTCAACGATGGGTAGCACGCTGCCATGTCCAACGGGAGCGTTGGGTCCGAGGAACACTAGACAAGTCAATACAGACTGAAAGATTACCGCTAGAAGGAATTACTCACTGAAGTAGTTGGGGAAATCAGCAGCAGCCAATGAAAGATACGCGACGGGCTTCTCCTTCCACTCTTCGGACAAACACTTGCCCTCGCGGCCGACCAAATTGAACCGGGGCGCGAAGGACATGTCGAAACCGGTGGCACAAATGAAAGAGTCAACATTCAGGACCTCACCAGTGGATAGAACAATGCCCTCCGGTACCACCTTTTCAATCGTGTCGGTCACCACGCGCACATTTTCTTTCGTCAAGGACTCGAGATAGCCATTGCCGGGAGTTGGTCGCCGGCATCCGACTGCAAAGTCGGGTAGCAACGCCTTCACCAACCGCGGGTCATTGCCTAGCTTGGTAGTCATCTCATTGCGTGAATATTCCCGTGCGTCAGCCTGCTCTTTGCTATCGGCGATAGCCTGGGTTTCTTCATGTTAGAGTCGTAGAGGCCCACAGATGGATTTTTTTGGCAGGTCTGGGCGACTTACAAATCGGAATCTCACATTGAGCTCCCCTTCGACATCCTTCCTGTACTTGAGATACTCCTGCGGGTTCTCGCGGAATGCCTTTTTCTGCTCTTCGCTGACTATATCCATTTTTGGTCAAGTGATGGTCCATCTCGCATTAAGCTCACAGGGGATACATACACTCAAAATTGGATCCTCCAGGTCCTGCATGATTCTGGGCAAATCCGGCAGTAATCCAGGTAGGGGAGCGGATGAAAGTCGTAAGCGATTTCACATCTGAAGGAGTCTGTTAACGATGAAATAAGTTCATAATATACCTTTGATCGTTCTTACCGGGTTGAATGGCAGGAACGATTTGCACTCCAGACGAGCCACATCCAAGAACAGCAACAGTCTTGTTGGTATAATCATAATCCTCGGGCCAAGCGGCACTATGAATGAGGTCGCCTTTGAAAGCGTGCAGGCCGGGAATATCGGGCCATTTCCAGTTGCTTGGTTGGCCATACCTATTAGTTAAATCTGGACAGGTGACAACCACGGGGAACCTACTTTAGAACGCCACATCCGTTAATGAGAACGTGACCCCAGTCGTGAATGATCTCTCCAGTCGAAATTCTCTTTATCTCCAGGTTCCAGATCCCTTTCTCCTCGTCCCATACTGCTCCAGTCACCAAATGGCTCAGACGGATGTACTTGTACAGTTGATACTTGGTGGCCACATTCCTGAAGTACTCCAAGATTTCTCCTGCTTGGGAGTAACTGCAATAAAAGTCAGTTGGCCCTTCATGAATGTTCTCAACATGATCTTACAAAGTTGACCATTCCGGATTTGGCTCCCAAGTGTACTGATAGCTGTGCGAGGGAATGTCACAAGCACATCCCGGGTACCTGTATTTACTGGGTCAGATCTTGCAACAGTGATCACTGGTAAACAATTGAGATTGAATACGAACCTATTTTCAAACCATGTACCTCCGATATCCTCGTTCTTTTCGTATATTTGCAGCTCGTAGTTTTTCATGTGTGATTCCATCTGACGTGCAACATTCAGACCGCTAGCACCGGCTCCAACCATCAGCACTCGAAGCTTTCTGGGCGTACCCAACAGCTCCTCCTGAACCGTATACGCAGCGCCGGAGGAAGCGCCATTGGCCTGTATATTTTCCATCTTCTGTGGTGTAGCGTGAACGAAAACAATGCTCTAGGTGAAGGGAGGGAGAGAGTCAACCATCGAATCGAAGTACTCTTTATTTCCTATCTGGAAATATTCGATTTGATTTGCTACCCCGCCGGAATAATAGCAATTATGGGGCTACCTGGCGCCCGCCAAACTGCTGTGACTTCCTGGTTTTTCGTTCCCGTGGATGATGTGGGCTCAGCCATTTCTCTCCACGGGAGCCGGAGGTACCCATCATCGGTCTCGGATCTATTGGGCCAAGGCCACCCCCTGGGTGGCGGCGCAAGCCCGGTATGGCCCCCGGGACCGTAATTCATGCCACTCGGTGTCCTGAACTCATAGCTAGCAACTGGATGGGCGGGATACCGATGGGATAACAATCATACGGGTACGCCCGAAAATCTCCGCGAGGACTTGCTCACATTACAGTAGGAGCTATGTTGATGTCCACTTTGTATTTTTCTCTAAATAAGATAGTCGTCTTTGAAAGAAATTCGAAACACCAAGTTAAAATTACTGGCTTTCCACACCCAGCGCAGCCAGATTGCGCTTCACTTCCTCTTCCAACTGGCGAACATTAATCACTGCTGGTAGAGGATTCTTATTCCACAATGCAACCTCGACGCTGGCATCGGACAGTGCCTGGACAACTTCAACTCTGTTGCCAAGTTGGATAGCCGCTTTGCAATGACTTTGTGATTGACGAATCGCACCTTGCGCGAAAATTCCCGAAGCAAGGACCAACTCCTTTTCTTGAAGGGCAAGGAGGCTATTACCGCTAAGGAGATACCCGAATACGGCGGTGTTGGCATAGTACGCTGGCAGCCTATTAGTACTCTGTCCAGATCTTGCTCATATGATCAATACGAGCAAACTTACAGATGTCTGGGAAATACTGATCCAGCATCTTTCCCACTTCACTATTGCCAACTCCCCGGTAGACTTTCTGAAATGCTGACACCCCCTCTGTTGCATAATCAAATTTATCAAACCCAAATCTCAACCTACAAGTCAGCATGGGTATATCCAACCGTGAGCATGTCACATGAACCCACCTAGGCTTAGTAGGAACCTCGTCGATTCCTCGCTTTCGCAACTCACCAACTAGACCAAACACCGCTGGCATGCAAGAAGGAAATCCAACAAACGGCGCGGCAAGTGCAAGAGCTTCTCGAACAAGAATAAAAGTCTCCTTCACATTTTCATCCGACTCGTCCTTCGTTGCATCCTGAAACAGAGCGGATACTGCATCTCCGCGTTTCTGGGCAACAAGCATCGCACTCTGTCCATACTCAGTTAGCTAAGATGAACTTAGAACACTAGATTGGTCATCGAATCAGTGTACCAAAAGTGCAATACTGAAATTTTTATGAGAAGACGGCTGAACTTTGCTAATTTTCTCGTTCAAGGCCAGAAACAGAGAGCTGTCGTAGGGCGCCGCATCTTGGGCAATATTGGCATTGGTGAACTTGGCTGCGAAATAATTCATGTTTTCGGTGGGGGACGAGCAATGATAGTGGTCAACTGAGAGAACTTGGAATCATCCGATAGAGAAGACATATAGCTAGTGTGCATTGATTTCGTCTGCGAAGGTGATGTGGGGCAACAACCACGGAAAACAACATCCCATCCCCGGAAGGAGACCAAGCTCCCAGCCTCATGTGACGTTCTCCCCCGGTACCCCGGAAATATTTTAGTCATAGAATGAAATGACAAATAAAATGATTGAATAAAACAAGGGACCAACGACAGTGCAGTGCCAATGCTAGTTTTGAAGGCGTGACTTCTTTCTATTCCCCTTCTAACCAAAATTGCAACTATGGCACCGTCGGTTTCCATACTCGAGACCGCATCGCGGGGCAGTGAATTTCGCAACTTTATTCCTGAGCCAGGACATCCTCGTATTGATGGACTTGACCAAACCGATATCGAGACTTACTCCAAGAAGATTGCGAGTGATCCGCATGTAATTCAAGTTTTCGATAAATGGAAGGCGGAGCTCAGAGAACCATTTTACGGGATCACGACCGACGGACGGCGCAAAGAGGGAATTTTTAAAAGAGCCGATGAGGGTGCTCCGGTCGAGGAAATGGTATTCATTTGGATAACAGAACCCGCGTTAAGGAATATTCATTGATTTTAGCACAGGTCGCTGCGGCCACGGAGCTCCGAGCTCTTCTTTCGGAGCAGGAGCTGCGCATTGCGAGCCACGACATTGATTCGGATGCATGGTATACATTATTTTCCCGGGTCTGAGATGATATATCGCTGATCATCGATAATAGGAGAAAATGGTCCAATCCTGAAGTTTTAATTTTCAAGTATGGTTTGCAACTTCAGTCTCTGGAGTCATATAAAATCGAGGCAATCCTCAAGCTGGTAGAGGCTAGTTTGAGCAAGACGGGGTATTACAAGCTCAAGGCCGCGATGGAGACGAACCACTTCCTCGGAGAATTATGCAACGCAGCGCCTATTTTGAATCGACACAGCTACCAGTGAATATACACTTTCGGCTTCTAGCAATTTCTTTTGGGGTGCTGATCGTGATAAATAGATTCTCCTTATTTGGAACGCCCTCCGCAACTAAGCCGTGGGGCTTTTCCCTCAATGGACACCATGCCTGTCTGAATATCTTCATTTTGGGGAGACAGATGACGATCAGCCCGGTCTTTCTCGGTGCTGAACCCAATGTATGTTTGTTGACCTACCAGATCGACGGTGTATACTGAACCAAGCAATGCAGCAAATCGACGCCGGGCCACAAAAGGGGCTGACACTCTGCGCTGAAGAGGGGGCCTACGGATTAGAATTGATGAACACTCTCCCGGAACAACTTCAGCAGAGGGCCCAAATTTACAAGGAAATGTATACCGACGACATGCCTCCCGGCCGCTGGAACCCATACGACCAGGTATGACTGACACACAGCACAGAAACAGATCAGTGTTACATATCTGACTAGTGATGAATATAGAGGCACCTCGGAGGCGCATTCCAAGACAACCGCATCATCCCTTACGAAGGCGTCAAAGCCACAGAAATGCCGCTCACACAGCAAGGTCTTCTGTTAAAAGCCGTCGCCTCGTTCATCATCCTGCTCCCGCCTAAGGCCTTTGAGGCCCGCATGCAGCAAATCAAGAGCTATCTCCACGAGACCTATTTCTCTTGGATCGGAGGCTTCGGCGATGACGATGCGTTTTACTTTCGCATTCAAAGCCCTGTTATTATGGTCGAGTTTGATCATCACTCTGGGGTTTTCCTGCTCAATAAGGTCCCGGCCAAATATCATGTTCATACCATTATAAGAACGCCGAATGGGAATGATTATGGACGGGAGTTGTTGAAACAATTTCGAAATGGAGTGCAGGAGCAGAGATTTTGAGCTGCTCTTACTTCTACGGAACCACATGTATTCTTCTGGCATGACATAGATCATACTTTTGGACTTGCTGTGTCAAATGCCGCTCTCGGCTACGTTCTATAAATGATTTCTCATGAAATACCGGTAAACAGGGAATACTTTTATTTACTTAATCTTTACTAATGCGCAATTCACATTTCAACGGTTTCATTAACCTAGCTCAGGTTTGAATGTGTGGTTTTGCTTAAGATGTGTAGAAATGTCGTGGCCTTGCACCTGGTCCTTCCAATTTACTGTAGCGGCATTAACATGCTAAATAGCCGGACGGAGATCTAAAGAGGACACAACTGGTAGAAATCCCAGTGTGGATCTTTTTAACATCAAACTTGAACATCTGAGGAAATCACCATCAAGTGCATCTGGGTACAAAATTTTCTCAGAATTACTGTATGTGATGCAGTCAGACAGGGCTTCGCATTTGTCAATTTACATGACACCCAACCTATTTGACTACTTCTCAAGAGGATTTAGGTTTAGATTATCACATTATATATAGGCCAGAGTGTGCTCCTCGGCTGAAATGTTCCAAAGAGTGTCATCTCCGTTTGATCGGATAATTCCTAGAAAGCATAGATCTTTTGATAAAGACGTGAGCCATACTACGTGAACACTCGTTTTGAACAGGGTGAGTGTCTAAATGGACTCAAGGGCTTGGCATATCTAGCTAGAAGCGACGTGGGTTTAATCTCTTGAATACTTTCATTGCCCGAGTTCCAGGAGTTTTCGCCTTGACTAAAGGTGATGAAGCTATGCCTATGTTTCTGGGAACCTGACGCCGCCACCTGCTAGACGATATGACTGCAGGCAACCATCCATGTTTGCTTCAATCAGGCAGATACTCCTGCTTGAGTTCATGACCGCCAATTCGGGCGTTCTCACTAGATACGAGGACAGCCAACATCCTGGCCGGCTTGGTATTCGACGGGTTTGTCCAACGATGCATCGTTCCACGCTGTACGACAGTATCCTGGAGGGATCTGTTAGCAACGCCTACATTGCGCGCGATCATAAAGGGAGGGACGTACTCCAGGACAGAGCAACTTTTTCTCCCCCGAGTCGAGCTCCAGCTCGATCTCCCCTTCGATGACGACCACCAAATCGATAGAAACAGTCCGATGCATCTTCGACTGAGCTCCAGGGGTCATATCAATATAAACAGAGTTGACACCACTATCGACTACCACATTCGGGCCTTCTTTACTACAGGAAGTAGCTTCGGTGCCGTCGTATGCAGCTTGATAGAGTTCGAGATCGGTATTTTGGTCCAAGGGGGCAGGTGCCCGAGGCACAGTGTATGCCCTTGCCACCGAGTACCCACGGCGCTGATGATGGAACAAGTCCGGTGTTGGCAGAAAGACACTTTTTGCCTCGTCATTGTGGCCAGTGATATAGCGAGTACAATCGCGAAGGCCAATGTCGGCGGTTGCGCTGCGGCTAGACATTTTGTTATGATAAATTTGGTCCACTGGTGGTGCTTCAGTATCTGGCGCCACAAAAAATGAGCAAAATATCTTGGTAGGGAAACCGTAGGCCTTTCTTTGGAGGGGCGGGACAGTATCATACGTTTTAAAGCAGACCTGGCCGAGGCCCGCGGATGGTCATCGAGACCCCCGGATGATACGGAGGATATTATACCACGATGTTCCGTTCCTGTGTCAGCCGGAACTTGTTGTACTTAATGCAAAATTTTTAAAGGGCTTTCTCCGACCACTCGCTTCAGAATGATGTTAACTTGATTTCTAAACTGAGTGGAGGTTTCGTTCTCTTTCTATATACACATTCATTCAATCAAATCGTACTCATCGACTCTCATACCGAACTTTGTTGACCAGTGTTCCTATCTGATCGATCTCAACCGAGATCTCATCCCCATTGTTCAAAACCACCTTGGGGTCATGGAAAAAGCCAATACCAGCGGGTGTTCCCGTCAGGAGGAGAGTTCCCGCCTCCAGTGTCGTGCCCTGGGAGAGGAAGGAGATCTGCTTCTTCACGTTGAAGATCATGTCCTTTGTATGGCCATCCTGTACAGTTGTGCCATTATGAACGGCCTTGATCGATAGGGTCTGGGGGTCTTGTATCACGGAGGAGGATACGAGGACCGGGCCGATCGGACAGCTGGAGTCAAACCCTTTGGAGAAGCCCCACTGGGTGGTTTCCAATTGCATCGCCCGCGCGGACACGTCATTTGAAGCGGTATATCCCAGCACGTAGTCCAGAGCTTCATCCTCGGGAATGTCACAACCGCTCTTCCCGATGACGAGACATAGCTCGGCTTCGTAGTCGCTCGTCCCGTCCTGGGCACATTTTGGGATATTGATCGCTGCCGGGTATGGGCCAGATAGGCTAGTACGTGGCTTGCTGAAGAGGGTGGGGCTCTTGGGAAGAGCCAAACTGGCTTCCTTTGCATGGTCCACATAATTAAGCCCTAGGCAGCGGATATAGTTGCAATCGTCTCGTGAGACCGGGGAGAGCAGCTGCTTGACGTGCATCACTTCCATAGTTACACGGCCGTCAAATATAGTGCCCTTAACGATGTAGGCAGCGATTTCCGCACCATGAACGCTATCCCGGCCAACATCGCGAGTCGTGTCCACCAGTTGGCCGAGGTGGACCTGGCTGTCCTCCACAGCAATGAAACGAATTAGATGGGTCCAGGATGGCATTGTGAAATGGGTTGAGTATCAATTTTTTCCCTACTCAAAGGACGATAGCTTAATAAATACCCAGCCGAAAGGACGAATGACCTATAGATGGTGGCCGACCCTTCCTACTGTGGACTCTGCTTCAGATCCGTGGCCCCACCCCGGGACCCAAAAGTTCACAACCATAACCCCGGGTTGTTGCACAGAACCCGTGGGATCCTCGCCAGTCCGCGGAATTACTTCCGGTTGTCTTTAGATGTAGCACCTAACATGAGAGAGTTGAGATGAAGGATGGGCTTATCAGATGAAAGAGAAATGAGATTGAAGATTGAGGCTGATGGTCAGAGATAGACCTAACGAGAGACTATATACTTAAGATAATTGATAGGAACTAACACAAAAGAAAAGCATACTTCAGACGACAGAGGTCCGGAAGAAGTAAACATGAAGTATGGGTATTACAATCCGAAGTAGGCTGAATAGGAAAGATCTGTTGAAGATAGGAAGGAAGGAGATCTCTCGTCAGGAGCATTAGAGCTTGACGGCTCAGGGATCTATTAAGATCATGTGACCAGAAACCCTGAGGACTGTCAGTCTCCCTCTTGTATTTGAGAAATTACAAAGTAGACGCGATACATGATAGAGTAAACCGCATTTAACCGCATCATCCTAAAAGAGCTGGCCCATTCCCATATAGATGCAATGGGTAGAAATACAGACATTCTGTTAAACAGAGACACTCACCTTACTAACATAGGGGCGCTAGTGTTCACAGATTAAATGACCCTATGGGCCATACCAATTTGGGAATAGCCAGAAGGACGCTAAGAAACAAACGCTGATTGGATGTAAAAGCATCGGGGTGGTGAGCAAGCACTGAGTGATCACTTGAGCCTTAGTCATTAATCACATGACTCTCCTTACCTGATCGCTGAGGCTGAGCCCGTGCTGACATTTACTCACTGAGCCTGAGTGTGAGCGCCCTCATAAAAGCAGCGGCAGCCGAGATAGGAAGCCCCACCCGACAGATATTATGGCGCATATATGTATTCCACAAGTGATCTAGTTTTAGAGAGGCTTTCATCTAGTTTTAGAGAGGCTTTCTACCTCCTTCTCTTCATGCAATAATCGCAAAATATGGACCAAGCAATGCGCTCGGGATTTGCAGGATAGGGAGTATCGTGCGACGGAGCCACCGAAAATGACCAGTGAACCACTCTTTCACGTATAACAGCTTCTTGTCCTCCTGTTGGCTCGATCTTCTCTTAGTCTTGAAATCGGAGGATTCATTCTAGTCTTAGCTTTGATCAAAACACCACATCGATCAAAGCCCAGGATTAATAGCTCCGTCCCCGCACGCTTGCTCCGCTCCTTGCTCCTCTTCAAAGATTTTTGAGGACCTAACTAGTCGTAGATTCCCCAGAATTAATAACTCGTTTAGTATCCACCAGATCTCGAGTTAGCTATACCCTATCCGATACGAGGTATCGCTCATAGTCGTCATAATCACTAGAGCCCGATTCGAACCTAGGTATATATCGTAAACGAACCTTTAGTGAACTTCTATCTTCTCCGTCTACCTAACGCGTGGCTCGATAAAGAGACACTAATACTAATAAAGGCCCGGATAGCTAAACCCGCTACCGCGATGCGTAATTTTACACTATAAATCCTTGCTAAGTATTACCAGGAAGTTATCTGATTTATGATACCAAGCCTAAGTAGACTCTCTTCCTTGGCCCCAGAAATGAGTTTTTAACATAATATGACCCCGGAAATCTTCAACGCTGTAAGATATCAGTATTTCAATCTTCGATTTTCCTGGAGAGCTCTTAGATCCGCGCAAATCGTCCCCCTGTGACGGAATCGAAGCGGAACTTCACTTAGCTAGGAAAAGATCAGGATCCCAGAACATGCATTGAAAATGTGTCTGATTATTCGGTATCTTATTCATGTAGCAATTATCCTTCCTCTTGAGAAATACTGTAGAATCCAAGTACCGTAGTTAGCCTAGATCTGTCGGGCTGTTTGTACACTGGGCTTCAACCAATAAGGAACGCCCCTGGCAATTACGTAATTAGCAATCCATCGGGATTCCGTACGGCCCGACCTACCGTGCCTTATTCAATTTGAAGCCAAGTTGGACAAAAACGACTTCCGCACATAATGATGCTTATCCTACGTCTTCAATAACAATGGCCACTCAAAAGCCTTCAAAGAAGGTATATCCAATCACAACATTTATCTCAGACCTACCGACCTCTCTTATCCCACAATCTTCTTCCTCATATTTGGAAAATGGCACTCAGAGCCGACGCTTGGTTATTGTGGGCGACGTACATGGAATGAGAAAGTCCCTGGAAAATCTCCTTGAGAAAATCGGATTTGACAAAGCCAAAGGAGATCATCTTATTTTGGCTGGCGACATTACCAATAAAGGGCCTGATAGCTCTAGTGTCGTTGATTTGGCGATCAAACTAGGCGCCAGCGCAGTACGAGGCAATCACGACAATGCAGTCCTTGATGCGGCAGCCGAGATAGTCGCTAATGGAGGCATTGATCGGTTCAAGGGCTTGATTGATGCATTGTCTACGCCTGATACTCCTCGAGGTGATCTGCCCAAAGACACAGCTCCTACTGAAGGCTCAGAGAAAACCGGACCTGCTACAACCAACATTAGTCTTCGACATGGCGCAACAACATATAGAACAGCATTCCAGCTTTCTGCTCACCAAATAAAATGGCTTGCTGCATTGCCATTGATATTGCGCATCCAGCTACCTCAGAATCTACCGTCCTCCCTCGGCAACAGTCTCATCGTCGCACATGCGGGCCTAGTTCCCGGTATCCCACTCGAAGAGCAGGACCCCCATGCTGTACTACATATGAGGAGCCTTATCCGGAAGCCAGGTGAGGAAGAAGGTTACACGCCAGATGAATCCTTTGGAGAAGAAGGCTGGGCCGCGGAATGGGATCGATGGCAAGACAAGCTCGCATCACCGACTACTGTGGTGTTTGGACACGATGCAAAGCGCCGTTTGCAGCTGGGTAGGTATACTGTTGGGCTGGACACAGCTTGTTTATACGGGAACCAGCTCAGTGCACTTGTGATCTCGGTCAACGATGCCGAAATCGAACATCAGATTATTTCAGTCGATTGTGCGGATACACCTGTGGCCCCAGCAGCGCCGGTCAAAGAAGATAACAAGGCGGCCGTTGATAAGTAGCGTGGGAATATAATACAACAGGCTCTGGCTTCCAAGCTTCATGAATTAGACTTATCATATACCCTAGACTGTTATTTCTCTAGTTGAAATTATATGATATCTGGTTGCATACCGAATTGGAACCGTCAACCGTATGCAAAGGCCCGTTCTGGGACTATGGTGGCACTCCACCATTCAAATATTATAGAAATTTGAAGTAGGCGAATTTTTTTTTTTAAAAAAAGATAGAATGATTCCAAAAAAACCGAGATTTGCAGAGTAAACACGCCCTTCCCAAAAGGGTGAAATTGAAGCTGATTATGTAATCCTAATTTGTCGCGTCACGGGTTTGGTTCAGCACGTCGAGGTCGCGCCTCACCATTCAAAGGACAAGCTCTCTGACGGATCAAGTCAGGAGTCATTGTGCCACATCTTAAATCTGCCTTGCTAATGACGACTATTTCACTGTCGCTGGCCCCGCCAGCATTGGTGCGGCTCCACGACGTGCTCATATGCCTCTCTAAATTCAGCGACACAGTCGCCATTGAAGCTGAGCATGATCTGGTAAGCACCCGCCCCTAGAAGTGAATTTGAAGACTCTCACTGATCATCCCAACCCAGCTTCGATTGAGTGCCCTGAACTCCACGAAGACTGCGTTTGCGTCGTTTGCGTGTAAGCGGGAGGTCTTTTTTGAGGCGTACTCGTTTGAGGTACGGCGGAGTATAGCCGGTAATGGAGGAGATCGATTCTATTGTCAGATTCTTATCAAGGTGAGTATTGTTGGTAATGTTTTTCTTGAATTCTGTTCTAATTGCTCTAATAGGCGCTCTTGTCGATCTTCCGCGGAAGAGTTGACCGGAATAAGGACACTGCGGTTGAGCGCTGTGATATGGAACTCCACGAAGATCCGCAGCAGACAGAGTGTCGCTTGACAGTGAAGATGATCTGCGGACTCGGTTTGTCTCTTCGTTTGCCCCATTGGGTTTTTCTCCTAATCAATGTTTTAGGCGTAATCAAATCATATAAGCTCACCTACGAGCCTGCGTCCATTCAGCACGCTGTTTTCGATAGAAGCAGAGCTACTAACCAGTGGACTGCGGACCCGCGATTCCTCAAGCAGGTCATTGAACATTTCAGCCTGTCTGCAGAACAGCTTGATATGTACTCTGACTCTGGCAAGGCGGTATTCACCAGTTTTACAACAAAGATTATGGACGGAAAAGGTATCAAATGCCCCTAGTCTACCTTCTATCAATAATTCAAGTTCTCATGGACATCGCTGACTCGACCAAGAGGTTCTCAAATACCCCGTGCATACCTCCGTCGCCACCGATAAGCGCGACTTTGAAGAATTCCTCGTCGAGGACAACATGCATATCGCCATTAATCTTAAAGACTTCAAAGCCGCCGTTGCCCACGCCGAGACCGCAAATGCAACTATAACAGCCCGCTACACCCGCCCCTGCAAACCACTGCAACTTGCATACGAGTTTGAAGGTGTTGCAGCCGAGTTCACTATTATGACCCGCGGCGAGCTTGACGGTGAGACTGCACCGACCTCCTCGCGTGCGGCAATCCGGGAACTCTCACAGCGGCAAACGCCCGCAGCGCCAATCTCAGGACGTCGACATGAAACATCTCGTGAAGCCACCCAAAATACGCAAATGCCCCCGCCGCCACCACGGACGCGGTCTATCAAACCGTTGAACGGGACATCAACGCAGGAGCACTTATCACGATCAACGGCTAGTGAGAGGCCGAGTGCGTCCGCGCTTTCTATGGAGTATGACAGTTTGTTCGTACCGGCGGATGATGACCGCCAGTGGGACGAGATGAATGAGGAGGAGGAAGAAGAACCGCAAGATATCTTGGGCTGGGATGCGAGTGGGCGACCGGATGCGTTCGAGGCCACACTCAGAGACGAGGAGCCTGATTTCTCGAGGGCAGGGACTAAGACCAATCAAGAACCGAAGGATGAGATGGGCATCCCGCCGACACAGCGGATCTCACAGGTTTGTTTCTATGAGTTGGCCCTTCTTGCGGATTGCAACTGACAGTTCATAGGTCCGTGGATTTGGCCTCTTCGACTGAGATGCTCATTATTGAGCGATATCGATCACATCTTCGTGTCAACCAAGGTGCGATAAATATTTAGAACCGGACCGGCAAGGACGCCGATAGCCGGTCACTCTGCAACAATCCAGCTTGTCGCGCATCCAGCGCCGAGGCCAATGACTCGCCCACCGCTAGCGGAAACAGCTTCCAGAGGGATCAAGCTGTACCGCCCGGCAACATTCCCTCGCCCATCGGTATCAGGTCCACAATTTCCATGCTCGCCCCATCCAAAAGAGGCCACCGTGCCATCACGCATCAGCACAAGCACATGTTCGCTTCCAACGGCCATTTTGACAGGAGGGGGCAAATTGTCAGGCGGGAGTTGGCCACGATCATTGCGACCCCATGCAATGAGAGGAGCAGAATGGGGTTCAGCAGACTCCTGAGAGATAGCATGTATATAAACACCATGCCAGCTTGCTCCAATGTTCGAGAATCCCGAAAATCTTCCATTCCCATCTAAACCCATATTCTGTAGAGACGCTGGGACGTCCAAAATACCCCATCGATTGGCCATGTCTCCCAGAACAACAAACTCGCCCTTTCCGCGATCTCCACAGACAACACTGAACTCACGCCCACAAACCGCACTCTGTGCTGCGAATGGAATTCCCTCGACCTTGGCCGGAGCCCAGACAATCTTTTGTGCTTTCAGAGTCTCGCCTAATTGCCCCTTCCGCGAACCGCCCCAGCCGTGAACGTCGCCATTCGACAAAACAGCGACCGTATGACCCATTCCACTAGCCAGTGCAACCACAGTCGTATCTTGTGGTGGAAAATCCGGGATAAACGATCCGGGCTGGACCACACTGTCACCAGGAGTGGATGTAGATTGTAGCTGGAGACCCAATTCACCCTTTGGATTTGATCCCAGAACGTACACCTTATCCTCGTGTACATTCGAATCAACCGATTTCCGCACGCTAGCAGCCAAGATACTCCCCTCCCACGTCGCAGACACGCACTTGAATGTATCAATGGGCGATCCCGTTGCAGCATCAGTCAGAATAACCCGTCGGAAGTGTAGTAGATTCTCTCCAGAATCAGATGTACGAGAACCACATCGGCCATCGGTGTTGCACCCCGCTGCATATACACAGCCGCTCTTTGTCAATAGGAGTGTGTGGTTTCCACCAGCGGCGATGTGGACGATTGCATCGTTTGTTGCTGGAGGCTCGTCGAAGAGGCATTGTGTAGGCGTGGAGACATCTTCTGTGTGGCCGAGGGCTAGTTGGCCGGAGCCGTTGGAGCCGAAAGCGAAGAGTTTCATTATTCCTTCCTCTCCTCTGCCAAAATTGAAAAACTTCTCACATTGAAGGAGATAGAAGTAGAGGGAAATAGTCGCGGGGCATCGTAAACATGTCCGGCCTTTTGGGTCACCGCCAGTGGTACCGCCTACCATATTGACTGGCCGAGTTTGAGCCGAGGCTCTTTGGCTTTTGGCTTTGTAGAGCTTTTGGGTTGATAATGTTTACTTGAAGTATAATTGTCCTTAAGACAGAACCCTTTCTTCCGACAATGTGATGGATTGCAAACTTTGATAGACACAATTGCTGTTTCCCCTGCAATGCCTGTGTCACGACACTATCTTAATCAATGTTACCTTGGCGCCTAATCCCTGCACTATGGCGCCAGCCTTGTGCCCTCCCGCGCAACGTCAAAAAGCTTCTGTTCCAGAGATGTTCAAGGAAAGCAACAACCTTGATACCCCATGGCTGACCTCCTCAAGAGCCCGGAGATGGAGAAGCAACCTCCCAATTCTAATTGCCGACGTCGAAAATGGTCGTGGATGACCATCTTCTGGTCGGTAGCAGGCGTGGGGATCCTGGGGCTAACAGGGTTCCGTGGTTTGCCTACCCCAGCACAGGGCTGGGCTTCAGACAACCACATCCACGTCCACCATGGGACTCAACTTCAGGTACAAGATTCGCCCTATGGATCATACCCACAAGAGAATGATCCATTCCATTTCCTCCCCTGTACCGCTGCCAGTCTTCCGCCGCCACTCGACGACCCAACCCCTCAGCAATCATGGGCCGCTCTTTTCGACCCAACCCCCAGTCATTGGAGCTGGGGTAGCAATGGCCAGGGAATCTACCTTTGTGGATACTTGGATCTCCCGCTTGACTATCACAACCAGTCGGATACCCGTATAGTCCGCCTTGCGGTGACTAAATTCCAGGTCGCGGGCTTGCCTCTGAAGAACGAGACCGATAACTCCCCAGACAGCTACAAGAGCAAGCGCACTCTCATCATCGAGCCCGGGGGCCCAGGCGGAAGCGGGACGTCTTACCTATGGGAAACTGCGGAGGAAACGACCAACCGCCTCAGCGACGGGCAACTCGATGTACTAGGCTGGGATCCACGGGGTGTCAATATCTCGCTTCCCTCTGGGGCATGCTTCCCTCAAGATGCACACCGGGATCGCTGGTCACTCCTCACACTTCGTTATCGCGAAGAAGCTCCCTCGGCGCAACTAGAAATGATGGACGCCATGAATAACGCTACTTTCTTTGCCTGTCAACAGCGCCTGGGTGATTTCGGTCGCTTCGTTAGCACGGCCTTTGTGGCTCGCGATGTCGATGAGATCCGTAAGGCTCTTGGGGAAGAGGAAGTCACCGGGTACTTTGTCAGCTACGGGACGGGCATCGGCCAGACATATGTTAATATGTTTCCCGATCGTGCGGGCCGTTTGATCCTCGATGGGACGGAGTACGTCAGGGATCACCGTCTGCAGGGTGGCTTTGGTTGGACCTCTCTCGACAATGCGACGGATGCATGGCGCGATGGGTTCCTGGGCGAGTGTATCACTGCTGGACCGGAGGCATGTGCACTCGCAAAACCCGTCTCTGACAATGACGGCCCCGTCACATTAGAACAGCTAGAAGGACGGATGGCCCGACTACTCGCATCTCTCCAAATCCGCCCTCAATCCGCATACACAGAAGCAGGCGGTCCCTCCTTGATCACTTACTCCGCGCTCGTGGAGAACGTGCTCTACCCAGTTATGTACAAACCGGCAAAATGGCCAAGTACCGCACAACTACTCTATGAACTGGAAGCAGGCAATGCAACCCTAGCAGCAACCCAGCTAGACCTCTCATGGAGCGACCACTCCGAGAAACCCTCCCCACATACCCCCTCAACCAGCGAACTCGAGATGCTCGTAATCTGCTCCGATTCCTACGACGCACCCATGCCCGACGGCCTCGAATGGTGGGACCAGCTATGGGCAAACATGTCCGCACAAAGCTGGATGGCAGGTAACTCGCGCTTTTTCGGAGTTCTGCCTTGTCGATACTACAATACCTACTGGGGCCGGCCGTCAGAGGTATACCGTGGTGATCTCAATCACACGCTGAATACTCCTTCTCTTTTGATTGCCTCGACGTATGACCCTGCGACGCCGCTGCGCAATGGGAGACGGCTTTTGAAGGAGATGGGTCGGAATGCGCGGTTGATTGTTCACCATGCTTACGGGCATAGTTCTAGACGGGACTTGTCGGAATGTACGGATCGTTTGTCGAAGGCTTATATTACGGATGGTGTTTTGCCTGAGGAGCAGGAGACGGACTGCTATGCTAATAAGAAGCCTTACGACCGTATCTCGGGCGATGACAGTGAGTAGAGTGTGATATAATCCAGTCACTTAGGTGGATCAAAGAGACGGGCTAAATTGAGAGCTTAAAACTTAGGACTGTAAATAAATTCAAACAATTTGATTCTTCGGGCTTGAAAAGCGAACTGGATATCTTATTCTTCTGTGATGGCAGCTTTCTACAACAAACCCCCACGAGATTATCGGGACTGGCAGCATTTGGTGCTCAAAAGCCAGGGTGTACAGATGCAAGATATTGCTCAAGAAATAGACCTTACAGTATTCAAACTTCTACTTTGATCGATAGAAAAGGTATTTAAAAGCCATGTAAAGCCATGATCATTCCAAGTGGGTATGTGAGAGGTATCAACGTCTAATTACAGCCAGGCAAAAAAAGGCCTGGCAACTCATGCAAGCTTATGCAATGTCCAAACAAGCAACGCAGCCAAGAGGTATATCCAAAAACAGGGGGATTTTCAAAAAAAACAAAAACAAGAATGGTCCCCAGCCAAACAATGATCCAATGGAAAGCGATAAAAATAGAACAAACCAAACCAAAATGTATATCCAAGTCCTTAGCTTTTCAAAAGCTAGAACGAACCAGCAAATGCAATTTACTCCTGCGCAGCAGGCTTCTCGTTGGAGAAGGTCTCCTCGGAGCCGGACTCGGCAGCAGGGGGCAGGCGGAAGGTGTCCTGCTTGTTGGTGGCAGACTGCTCCATAGACTGCTCCATACCCTTGAACATGGGGCTAGTGCGGTGGAAGTAGGTGTGCACGTGACCCTCGAGCAGAGTGTCGTCAGTATCGAAGACCTCATCGCTCTTCTCCTTCTCGGCCAGGCGCTGAGCCATGAGAGCCTCCCACTCGGTACGGTACTCCTCAACCTTTTGCTGGTAGTCCAGCTCGGCGTCGTAGAAGCGGCCCTTCTTCAGAACGAAGCGCTCGTACCAGGACAGGTGCTTGGGGTGGACGGCGGGACCGTGGTAGTCCTCCTCACGACCCTCGCGGAGGCACTGCCAGCGGCGCTCCTGCTCCTTCAAGTCGAGACCAGTAGTGTCGGGCAGGAAGGCCAGGGTCAGGACAACACCGGCCAGACCGAACCAAGGGACGACGTAGAACTTGGTCTGGGTGTCAATGTAGTTGTAGAGAACGGAGGCCAGCAGAGCACCGGCCTTACCAGCAGCAGCGGAGAGACCGTGGGCAGTCGCACGGATAGGGGTAGGGAAGACCTCGGCGGCAACCAGGAAGCTGACACAGTTGGGACCGAACTGGTTGAAGAAGGAGCTAAGGAAGTACATGGTCTGGAACTCCTTGATGTGGGCCGCAGACGTGTAGTACTTGTAGTGGAAAGCAGGGACGACGAAGAGAATGAAGCACATCAGGAAGCCGACAGTCTGCATCCACTTACGACCGTACAGCTTGTTATCGATCAAGAAAGAGGCAAGGTAGTAACCGCACAGGGAGACACCAACGTTGACCAAGTTCCAGAGCCAGGTAGGCATAACCGAGCTAGTCTTGGGGGAGATAACGCTGATGAACTCGCTCTGGAAGAGCTTGTTACCATAGAAGAAGACATCGTTGGCAAACCAACCACCGGCAGTGGCGAGCAGGCGAGGACCAAAGTACTTGAAGGTCAAACGGAGAGACTCGACATCGTAACCGGTGACGGAAGCCTTCTTCTTAGCAGCAACCAACTGCTTAGAGGCAGCCTTCATGTGATAGGCACGGTAGTAGACCAGCCATAGAGTGCCCACAGCGGGGATGGCGAAAGAGATGCGGTAGGTCCACTGAACAGAAACGGGGGAGTAGGGGTTGTTGCCGCTACCGTGGTGGAAGCAGAGCAGGAGAATGATCAGCAGAACCTGGTTGAAGAACTGACCCCAGCCCTGCATCAGGAAGGCACTGGTAACCTTGCGACCACGGTGGAGACGGTCCTCCTTGGTGGAAATCTTGCCAGAGCCGACGGCGTTCTCCATACCGGAGGTGGCAGTCATGGGATATTCACCACCTATAGTGGCCCAGTTAGACGCGCGGTTATTTCAAGCTAGGAAGGGATAAAGAACGTACCAACACCAACAGAGTAGAAAAACAGGGACCAAGCGTAGCAAATGACCCAACCGTTCTGGGTAACGCCCCAGGCGGCAGTAAGCATGAGCAGACCAATGAACATGATCGTGGCATCCTGAATCAGACCCCAGCGACGGCCAATCCTGTGGCGGACGTTAGCATATGCACGGTCTCTGTCTCGAGGGAACCCCATTGGACCCCGAAAGGACATGGCGTGAGTTTGTGGAGGAGCTTATTTATTACTTACCAGTCACCAACGAAACCAACCAGAATCTGACCCACGATAATACCGATGATCTCCAGATAATCGACGGCGTTCACCCACTGCTGGTCACAGATCTCGTGCTTGCTCCAGCAGGCGGGGAAAGTCTTCTGGAAAAGAGGCTTGATGTTGCCAATGGAGAACAGAACGTAACCCTCCAGACCGAGACCAGCACCGGGGAGAACCATGTTACGGAAGTAGTATGAAACCGGGGACAACGGGTCCTCCTTGATCATGGACCAGATGGTGGAAAGCTCTCTGCCGGCTTCCTTAGCGTCGTACGAGCTGACGAACTTGATCTTCTCGCCCAGAGGCATATCGGCCCAGTAAACACCATCCTCATTGTAGCTGTCCTCGGGACGGATCAGCTTGTCGAAGGCACCCCTCTCGTGGGCGTGCATATCCTCCAGCGGGTTGTGAGTTCCCGTCATATCGGGCCCATGGGGGGCTCGAGGTCCAAAGTCGGTCATAGTGACGGCGTTGACGACGAGATGTTGGCAATTGACTTCTCGTGGCTCCTCTCGGTGCTGCTTGGCGACGACCGGCGAGTATTGGCAAGTCTGGACGAGGAGACTCTACCGAATGAGGAGAGGTATATAGTCGTGATGACCACAATAAAGGACGTGGCTTGGGAGCCAAGGATGGCGATCTCGAGAGGTTTATATACGAGCCTGGGAGAGAGGGAAAGAGGCGGAAGAAGAAGAGACCACAAGAGAGCAGACCGAGCAGGCGTGCGCGCAGGCTCGTTGCTGATAAGTCAAGTGGCGGACTCCACTGGAGGTCGCACTTTCCGGCCAAGAAGAAGAAAAAAAAAGTCTGCCGGGGCCAGAAGTGGCCCACTCATGATGGGGCGGGGGATAATCCATTTTGGCCTGCACACCAGGTCGAATCTGGAGAGTCTATTGAGGATGGCGGAGTCTGGACGGGCACGACGAGAGACGCTGATTGAGCCAGAGGGGAGATGCGGCGACGAAAACAGCACAAGTGGGGAAGAAGAAAAAAAGAAAAGAGAATAGAAAAAGAAGCGAATGCAGGAAGAGCCGCCAGCCAATCAAGAGACCACGTGTTGGCAAAATGCCGTTCTGCTGGATGAGATCTGCTGGGTGGGGATCCACAACTGACCAGATGCAGTCCCGTTCGGGCGGGTTTCGGTCGGGGTTCGACGGGTTTTTCGAGTCTGACCGCCTGCTAAATTTGGCCGATCATCAGTGGGGCAACGGGTTTGACGGCCAGTCCGTCACCCTGAGATCTTCAAAGCGTTCGGAGTGTACACTGTACTCATTCCTTCGATTCCAGTCATCACAATTCTGATCCTAAGAATATGCGTTGTTTCTAACTAACGAGCAGGGCGCAGTATACAGGGCGTTATTCGAGTTTGTCCCTTGCCGAGTGGCACTTTCTTGGCGCACTAGAGACTTTGCCTCGGGTTGAGTGATCCAGCGGTACAGCATCTCGTCGCTCCAACATGCACAGATGGGCACACGTGCCCTCCTGCCAAGTGTAGCGAAGCGGGATCGAGCAGTTCAGGACCCTCTCGGAATCCTCCAGTGTGATAGGCGCATCCGGACCCCTCGGAATGTCAAGGGAGCCAATCTCCATCTCAACAGTGGTTCACCTCCTCGTGGCTTCTGTACCTGTGGCACACAGTGACATCAAAGTCTGGGTTTCAAGCGCGGAGAGGGTCCCAGAAAAAGCCCGCTGCAGTGCTGATGTACCATGATCATGCACGTCGTAACCCGGAATGGCCTAGTTCCCCTGACTCTGGAAACGCAGATGGCGGTTTAACTCCACGCTAATATCCCGGGGGCACTGATCATTGCTGGCCCCCCGCGAGCCAGTTAAATCCCCCGCTCTGCCCATGTGCGCGCTTCTTTGGACCTCTGCCGTTTCCCTCCATTTCCCATTGACCAACCACAGCCCGCCGGGCTCAACGACAACCTCCCAACTTGCCCGGTCAGCACCACGTTATGCGACACGTATCGCGTGCTTCGACTGTGGCCTTCCTTCCCCATCTCATCCGATGTTTATTTTCTGGGGCCATACGGAGTACGGAGCCTGGCACTGCCGGTTCTCGTAAAGAACTCGGAAGATTATGCCTCGTAACTGGCATTAACGATGCTTGGCAAAATCATCGCCGGACCAGTCAAATGCGACATCGATGAACATGTTTCGATATCATGACACCCGAATATGACCTCTTGAGCCGCTGCATGCGCCGAGAATTCATGGCATATGCAGCCTTGGCTGAGGCTTGCCATTGCTTGACCTCGCCTCCTCGCGCCGAAGTGCCGTACCAAGCACATCTAGGGATATTCAAGCATCTCCAAGCCTGGCCAAGCGAACGCCTTACGATTCCCTTGCATTGCGCAGGGCTATTAGGTCAGAAGTCCAGCACGTGGGCAGACTATCGGTTCTCGCTCGTCGGCTTAGCTTGTCAGCTGGCCCCCGACATACCGGTTTAAGCTGCAGTGCATTCTCATGCCTCTCGAGTCCTACTCTCTACAATGGCGAGACCGAGCACTTGGTGCATCATGCAGGGATCACTCGCAGTGCCCGAATATGCCTCGCTGCCTTCTAGAAGGCGGTTCGTTCCTTCGGCGCCACCGGAGCTTGCACCAAAGCAAGCCGGCGCACGACACACGGTCCGCCTGCAGATTGACTTTGGATCCGTCGCCAATGATGATGTACGGTCGATCATTATTATATTTTTGATTATTCTCAGGGGTTTGCAGCGTCGCGGCGTGGGATATCCGGACGATCTCGGCTCGGCAGTAGTCCACTCCATTATCCTGCAGCTGTCCGGACACCAGCTCGCAGTTCGCGCATACGATATACCATCCAATGAAGACCGTAGTGTGACAGGCTGAGCTAGACGGAGGGTCTCGTCGTCGAGTAGCTCCGTCATATCTGGTCTAGGGGGGAAACGCCACGCTACCCCCTGCATACGCCGTGGTTTCGTCTTTTTTCATTTTCAAAATTCCAGAATCCTTCTAGAAGGTTGCCTGGCTGGGATGTTTCAGCTCAGCCTTCCCTGGAGAGAACCTTGCCAGGAATAGCCATCCGCATGATTCAGATCTGATTTCAGAAGCCGATCCCGACCCTGATCCTGTCTAGGGCTGACAGAATCGTGATACTGCCGTAGCCAAAGCGCTACCTACAGATGAACCACGAGGCGACAACACGACTACCCAGTGGTCCCCCTCGAGATCGCACTATTGGTGATCTTCCTCTGGTGAGCACTCGATCCCTTTCAACCCCCATCCTATCATCAGATCCGCGTGTTCGTTCGTCTCGCTCGCGCCTTGCAGAACAAATGCCCTTTTTGGAAGTCCGCGCCAGTCTCTCGCCGGATCTGGATTCGTCTAGACCACGATCCTGGGGTCCTGGGGTCCTCCAGGCCGCCTTGCCGAACGGGAACGCCGTCGCTCGCTCGGGCGGTGGCTCTGAGGACGCTAGGCGTTGCCCGATGGTCGAGTGGCTTGATGATGGATCTTTTTCTGGGGAGAGTTTGTGAGATGAGGATCCGTGGTGAGCCGCGGGTGCCGGGGTGGTTATACTAACTTTAGTAGATGATGCAGACTAGGAGATATTATTGGGTAAGGCGTAGTTGGTATGAGTTAATTATTGCTTTGTAGTCGATAGTACGAGGTAGTTGGTTAGTCCTTCGTATATCGCAAAGTCACCTGGCATGGTGGATGGTTCCGCTGGCGTTGTTGAGTCGCTCACATTCCAGAGTTCGGGACTTGCCAACTGCCCACTTTTTGCACCCTCCAACCCTCAACTCACTTTCCAACCACATATTTATATACTCACGAATTATGACAATCAAATTATCTTCCATTCTATGAGCCCTTTTACTCCTGGTATATCGCATTAGAGATGACAAGCCATTATGCTGGTACGATCATGTCCACGACCACCCCGACAACGCCCTTGTTTAGCGCTCAGCGCAACGAGGACCATCACACAACGTTCTCACGACGAACTTCAACCTACCCCAAGCACTCAAGGCTAGCTTTTTCCTCGATGAAAGGAACATGGCCTCTTAAATCCCCAATCTGACCTCACAAACCTCGCCCACCAAAGTCGCGACTGCAACTCCCTTCCATCGGCATGCAACCCCGAGGCTGGGACTGGGCCATCCAACATTCCACACGCAGGCGGGAACACCCATAACTATCCCAGACACACCCCCAACCCCCATTGAAATCCGCCTGTTAGAATAATTTCCAGCGTGAAGGCCCGCTTTTTCGCAATCCAAGGCCCTTATCCACATATCAAGGCGCATGTCGACGCGATAAGCTGGACCCGTCCCCCTCGACTATCCCAGGCAGAGGTATGGAGATAGCAGGGTCATACCGCGGAGAATTCATCTCGTGATCGTGCCTTGATGATGAGCTGTGACGGTTTGTGTCTGGGACAGCCCTCGGTGGGAATGGGGGCTTGGATGTGGTATCTCGGTGTTTGGTCTGGTGTGTATTGGGTTGGAGGTATAAGAGTTTAGGGCTGGGAGGTGGAGATTCTTCGCAGATGATCTACCGAAGTTTGGTTTTTGGTTGTTCCGATATCATTTTTTGAGTTGAGTCCGGTTAGTATCGAGAACTTGATATCTTGGGATTGGTGGTGATTTGCTTGCGACTGTGCTGATCCTCGCATTGCTGAATAGAATCCTAGACGATTGCACTGGTTCAAGGAGGTCTGGTTGGTGTCTGACCATTCAGTGACTTGAGCCTCGACTGGCATCTATACATACGCCTGCTCAGCAAGAGATATCTGCATCAGCGTCCACATCGGCATCAACCACCCACCATGATCGACCTCAAAAGCATCTTCCCAACGATAACGGCGTTCATAGCATTCATCATCACGATGTGCTGCCTCTTCGCCGGAACACAGAAGAATCTTCTTGACAGCGTAAACCTACTCACAGTACGTCCTGGGACCCATACACATCTACAGCTTCATCTCCATCTCCACCCACACCTACACCTCCATCTACATCTACACCTACACCAATGCCCTACACTCCAACAGCACCATACCTTTTACTAACAACCTACCCTCCCAGATCTACACCCCCGAAGGCTCCTCCCTCTCCCCCACCTTCTCCCCCTTATCATCAACAACCCCAGCCCACACCTTCTACTCCGTCCACGTAATGTCCTACTGCCAAGGAACCCTCGGCCCCGCGCCCCCCGGCGCAACAGACCTCTACTCCTCGCGCAACGTAACAGACTGCTCCAACCGAACGATTCTCTTCGCCTTCGACCCGACAGCAGCCTGGCCGAAGGAGGTCACGCATGGACCCGCGCTGGAGTGGCCGCGCATTATCAGTGATGATTTCCATGCGTTCCGGATGACGAGTCGCGCGATGGCCGTGTTGTATATTATTGGGGTTGGGGCTGTGGGGACGGTGTTGTTGGTTAAGGGGGTGCAGGTGGCTATGCCGAAGCCGCAGTATGGGATGTTGGAGGTTGGGTTTTTGGTGGTATGTTTTTCTTGCTTTTTGGGACTTGCAACGTGCAACATGCAACATGAAGCTTTGGCTTTGGTTTGCTTCTTTCTGGTGCAGGACTGGATCCTGGATCCTGTTTTCTTGTCATTATGAACCCCTTTTTCCCAAAGGAAATCCGAGTACTATCGCAGGGATAGTATATCTCACCTGTATGAAGCGGACTCGCTAACATCAATATCCAATCTAGCTCGGCTCGCTCAGTATAAGCATCGCATCAATCATCGCCACGGCCCTCGCCTTTGAATTCGTGGCACTTATCAACGCGCATGGTGATGGATCAAACGTTTCAGCCCGCTACGGCGACAAATTCCTCGGAATGACATGGGCATCGACGGGACTATTAATTGCGGGCAGTTTGACCAGCTTCATGAATGTGTTTGTTCGGGGTGCGCCTGCACCCAAGGAACCTGCGCCGGCGAAGGATGAGGAGGAGGGTTGATCAGGAGTGTGATGGAGGGGATGGATGTGGATGCCAAATGCAAATGTGGAGAGAAGAGAAGAGGGGGAAGATTTGAGTTCTGGTAGTTGTCCAGTGGGACGAACGTCGGGAACCAGCATCGGGACGGGACGAGAGACGGGACGAGAAACGGGTATGAGAAACGAGTGGTTTTTTTTTTGTGTTTGTAACCTTACGACTGGTTTCATCAAAACCAGGTATCTATGATCGGCTATGCCAGCAATGAGAAAATATAATCCAGTCTAACGAAGGATTCTCGCGATGCTGAAAGTAAAGTCACCCAATAACCGGGCTAGAAGAAGGAACGAGGTCTGGAGGATATTTCCGAGGCTTTTTTTTTCTGACATTCAAGATAGACAGAAAAGTTGTCTTATACTGTAGATAATCGCCTCGACCAACCAAATAGTCGCAATTGGATACTATACTCCATAGTTGGGTTGGACTTTGGGTGCCTGGAAGCGCCGTGCAACCCGACGAAGATTCCTGAGCGGATTGGCTTCTCTGCTTTAACTGGTTGTATCCTCCGTGCTCATTTAGTTTATTGTATTAGCTTAGTTGCCTTGCCTGGTTGCGACGGAGTCTTCCGTATCTACTCCAGACAGATAGCGGAGCACTAAAATGTACTAGGGCGAAGATGCTAAAATGACATACTCCCTGCGAGCACGGTAGCTTCCGCGATCTGCCTTTATCCTCTGTTTTCGACAGAATGTAGGGACTGGACTAGGGCCATGTCCATCTCCCGCTCGAGCCATTCAGCAATAAATGGCGCAAGCCAACACGCAAAACGAGGCGTCGGGAAAACGGCCGGCGAGACCAGCCATTCACAACTTACCACAGATTGAATAGTAGAGTTGACGCCATTCAGATGATGATAGAGCCCGACCCGCCCGTGCTTGTACTGTAGAAACTAACAATCCATATCCACATTCATACTCATAGTATCCACATCTACAGTATATCCAAGATTTCCACGTTAATCCCCATGCCCCAATCCCCATGCTCATCCCCATAGACCGAACTAGCCAGACCAGGAACGGAGATGAAGCGGAACTCAAAAGAAACTCATCGAAATACCTCGTCCCTATCGTCCCGGGAAACTAGGGGGTAAAAAAAATAAACCTCGGCAGGGTGGGATTGCAGAACGACCTCTTTCGTGATTAGCGGGAAAAGAACAGCCCCAAAAAAACTGGGTCTTGCAACTGTCAGCCGTTCATCCGACGTCACCAGTAGTGGAGACACGAAATCAAAGAATCAAAAGAATCAACTGGTCGATCCCCTGCAATTCCTAGTTTAGTTACGAGGCATATGCGTATCATTCAGATAGGGTGCTTGGCATGGGATCGGGAGGGACAGGAGGGGTGATGTCTGGGGCTTGCGTCTAGGACCACAGTACTCCGGTTTTCCGCTAGGATCGATTGGGGGGGGGTGGTTTCTTGAGGCGTCCGCGATAGTTTCGGCGGGTGGCCACGGCCACGGGCGCGGGCATACACGGGGGAAGGAGGGGGGGGGGTTAGGCTTAGGCTTGGGCTTGGGCTCTTGGGCTTCACGTCAATGGGGATGATGATGATGATGATGCCTGCTTAGTTAGTGGGGGGGGTTTATGAAAAGAGGGATGTATCGTTAGTGGGGTAATGGGAAAAGGGAAATGTGGAAGAAGTCATTGGTTGGGGTTATCATAGACTAACCCACATCGAGACTCATTTTGGCTGTGCAGTGGTGTGTCTACACCACGGTCCGTGCTCATGGGTTATCATATGTGGTAAGCGGTCTTGGGTTGCCAAGGCAGTGGCCTAAATGGGCCTCCAGCGTCTGCTCGTCATTGTGGCTCGGTTTTGAGACGAGGACAATTCAGACGAGAGGGGCCCATGAGGTTCAAGCGCAGGAATGCGGAGAGAAAGAGAACAGCTGGAGAGAGAGGAAGAGGTCTGGGCGGGATTTTCCGGGGCCTTTGCGAAATACCTACGGAGTACGAGAGGTACAGTCAGACTCGAAGAGTCATGGACATAGTAGTGACCTACGGTAGGTAACTATTAACTAAGGGGGACAAAGTATACAGTCATCATCATATTCAGCCTCTTGTCTGATTACTCCTGGTCACTTTTCCCGTGTCCTAATCCCAGATTAGTTCGCCGGTGAGTTTGTCTTTTCGGGTCGGGATGGAAATTCTTGGGGGGTATGATTTCTGAACGTGAAAGGAATCGTAGATACCACTTCCGTCTTCCGTGTCGCCGTACCTGGAGGAGGCGCGAATTCCATCGGGAAGTGAAACGCACTGATGAGGGGATTCGGTGATTCGTCAGGATGGACGCAGTGGAGACTCGATCCAGATAGGTGGAAAAGCGGTTCGAATGGGGGAGTTGTGTACTCCGTTTGGACCGTCTAGTCTGGATTTCGGAGAGGGAAATAGTCTGGCCAGAAAGCGGGCTAGTTCCCGGGGCGATTAGAGGGGATGGCGTGTTGTGAGTGGTTCGGCGATGGGGAGATGAACCAGGGCTATACTTGGGCTATACCTGGACTATACAAAAGGGACGGAATAATGGGATATGGAGGGGGGGGGGTTGCACGGCCAAAGCCCAAAGCGGGGGGTTACACCAGGCATAAATGGAATTGCAGAAAGAAGAGAACGCGAAGAGATAATAAAGAATGGAATTAACAGAACAGAACCCTGTGTTGACCGTTAGGATCGATATCATGATGTTCTCATGGGAAACAAGGCGGAGGCTAGATCCGTGCGCCTCCCGAGGTCGATGAAGTCATCCCGGTCAGAGCTGGACTGGGGTGGGGAATGACGGTCATAGTTCGAGTATAGTATAGTGGAGGAATAGGAGAAGGATACTAGAGTATTCTAGTACTATCGTAGTAATACGCTAGACTAGTACAACTATAGTATACTATGGTAATCTCTCATAGTATACATGGTATACATGGTAACTTTGGTGATGTACCGTGAAAATGGAAGCCAGGCAAAACCATAATCGCTCTTTCCATTCCAGCTGGAACCAAGTCCGAGAGCCTGCCCCTCTCGCTTTTACTTCGGTTGCCTTTCTTGGGAACACTTAAATACTTCTTCATTCCCCCCTCTTTTCCCTCTAGTCTCATTCTCCTCACCCATCATTTCCCCTTTCCCCCACTCTGCAAGATCAGCCACCCGCTCTTAGCACGTCACAAGACCTTTTCCCCAGATCTTGTGATCGGATCTGCCTCTAGTCATCTTATCTTTGCTTCTTTCTACCCCCTTCATACTTCAGCCCTACCACCATCATCATGGGAATGAAGGCTATTCACTTTGGCGGTGGCAACATCGGCCGTGGCTTCGTTGCCGAGTTCCTGCACACTGCAGGCTACGAGGTCGTCTTCATTGATGTCATGGATAACATCATCAACGAGCTACAGAATACCAAGTCTTACCAAGTCACCGAGGTCAGCGAAGCTGGTGAGACCACCAAGACCATCACCAACTACCGCGCCATCAACTCCAAGACCCATGAGCAAGACGTCGTTGAAGAGATCTCCACGGCTGACATCGTCACCTGTGCCGTGGGTCCCAACATTCTCAAGTTCATTGCTCCCGTCATCGCCAAGGGCATTGACATCCGCTCTACCCCCAAACCACTGGCCGTCATTGCCTGTGAGAATGCCATCGGTGCCACCGACACTCTCCGTGGTCACATCGAGTCCCACACGGACTCGGAGCGTCTCGAGACTATGGGTGAGCGTGCTCAATATGCCAACTCTGCCATCGACCGCATTGTCCCGGCTCAGGCCCCCAACAGCGGCTTGAACGTGCGCATCGAGAAGTTCTACGAGTGGGTTGTCGAGAAGGGTCCCTTCGGCAACGTGGGCCACCCAAACATCCCCGCCATTCACTGGGTTGACCACTTGGAGCCATACATTGAGCGCAAGCTCTTCACCGTCAACACCAGCCACGCCACTGCTGCGTACTATGGCCGCTACGCCGGCAAGAAGACCATTGCCGAGGCCATGCACGACTCGTACATCCGCGGCGTCGTCCGTGATGTGCTCAAGGAGACTGCCTCGCTCATCATTGACAAGCACGAGATCGAAGCTCAGGAGCAGCAGGAATACGTCGAGACCATCATCGCCCGTATCTCCAACCCTTACCTGGAAGACAGCGTCGAGCGTGTCGGTCGTGCACCCGTGCGCAAGCTTGGCCGTAAGGAGCGTTTCATTGGACCTGCTGCTCAACTCGCCGAGCGCGGCATGAAGTACGATTCTCTCCTGGGTTCCGTCGAGATGGCTTTGCGTTTCCAGAACGTCAAGGATGATGCGGAGAGTGTCGAACTCGCCACCATTCTAAAGGAGAACGCGCCGGCCGATGCGACAGTCCAACTGACTGGATTGGAACGTACGCACCCACTCTTCTCGGCCGTCGTCAAGGTCGTGGACCAGGTGCAATCTGAAGCCAAGTATGTACCCTTCACTGTTTCCCTTCCCACTTCTCTACGCATTTGCTAACATACTGTTCTTTCTACAGGGAAACTGGCCAGCCCCGCATTTAGACGTGCTTGCACTATTCTCAATCGGAATTATATTTTACCTTTGAAAGCATGGGACTCGGCGAATACACGGCTGTATTATGGGATTATGGAACGGGAATGAGCCTTTTTTTTTCTGTTATTGTTCGGTTTCGATATGAATTATGACTACCCCCTTACTGTGCAGTATGGATTAAGGAAATGAACGTGTTTCAATATTTCTTACAGTGATTCCTTGATCTGGATTATACCGTTTTCGGTTAAGCGTAGTCCGTAGTCTCCCGAGCCATGCATTAGTGCCTGATGTACCTGATAAGTCAACCAGTTCCTGACATTTCGGCTTGCAGTTGCGGGATACCCCGGGGATTCGGGGAAATGGAGAAGAGCCTCGGTAATAATTCACCCCGACGATACAGTATGGAGTCAACTTTAGCGTATCTCTTATCTTTTAGTGACTGTACTGGGAGTAATTAGATTTGAGGGATTACTGTAGTCTGTGCAAGGAGATCCACATTTGTCGCGGCGTTTATAGCGAATAGCAGATACTGTATGCAGTGCGGAGTACTACGGAGTACTGGATTGAATTACTGTTTCGGTCTAGCTGTTCTGGGTGGAATGGATGGGGTATTGAAGTCTTAGCCAGAGTGGATATGTTCTATGATTTGTGGGATATTACACATAATGACTGGATCTTAATTTGTAGGAGATAAAATAATTATTGCAACATTACACTGGTTCTGTGTATCTGAGGTGACATGCATGTTACTTGTGGAGCTTTATAATACTGTAGCGCGTGGATATGAATTCCTGGTGGGAGGGTTGGCTAATGTAACGGCTGGCCGGGTATAGTATGTAGTACTGAGGTGTATGTTCTCCGCATGGGGTCTCTGAGTGTGATGCGGGGAATTCGGATTGCAGCCCTGGCCCACGTTCTGGATGTATTGGTTCATACTGTTTACTGGCTTGTCAGTATTGTCGAGCTTGTACGATGGATTTCTTGTCCGAGTTGCTGTTATTGGTGGATGGGTTGACAGGGAGATGTATATCCAGGCTGTGCTCTGTGCATCATGCCCGTCAGTATACAGTAGTGTATGCCGTGTCCGAGGTTAACCCGGAAAGCTTGTGATAATGCTAGATTTAAGCTATTCTATGAGATCTGTTACCATCTTAACTGGGCTTGAACGATGTATAGACGAAGCCTTTCACAAGAACCCACCATTCCAACCAACCACCTACACACCACTCTATACGTACTCCCCCACGTTTCTTTTCTTCACTGCGGAAAGAACCCCTCATAATAATCCCTCTTCCCAATCTGCACCCCACTCATCCTCAAAATCCCATAAGCAGTCGTAACATGAAAATAAACATTCGGCAACACAATCCGATGCGCATACGCACTCCCACTCATATCAACGACCGCACCCGGCCCAACCTGCGTCGGACTAAGCACATCAGCCTGTGCATTAACAAGCTCCTTATCTGCCGCGTCCAGCGCCTTCAGCACGGTATTAATGCGCTCGTAGCTCTGCGCAAAGGTTGTCGGGGAACCGTCGAATTTGACCGGGTCCCGCGCTGTTAGGCGGGCGGCTAGGTTTTCGGCGAATTGGGTTGCCAGGCGGATTTGGTCGGAGAGGGGGTACATGTCTGGTGTTAGGCGTGCGGCGAAGATGGTTGTTTCAAGTTCGGAGGGGGAGGTGGTGGTGTTGGTGGGGGTGGAGCCTTTTTGGAGGACGTGGGTGAGGGTGCGGAGGAGGGATTGGAGGACGGGGATTGTCCCGTCGTAGAAGGTGTGTGCCATTGCTGTTGATAGATGGGTGGATTGAAGGATAATTGCTTTGATAGTTGGATTTTGTATATGCGTGGAGTTTAAATAGGTTTTGCTTGATTTCTAATGTAAGACGGAAGTTGGCCGTGTTTGGCCATGAGACACCGAAGTACATCGCGACTTTGGGGGCCAAACTTAATGGACGGGATGATGACGTGAACAGGTATTCGCTCACATTTATATAAAAAGGCTTTGAGTTTTGTTTATATTTGAATACGAAGATAGTAACTCATTCGTAGCATCATGTTTATTCATCTTCTGGCTAATAGGTCTTGTGGTATACTTCTCAAAGCTCCCGACGGCCCGAATCAATATGCCGCAATATCAGAGGCATCATGCCCCCACTCATCCCTCCCGGAGACAAGGCTCGCCATCGTGTCCACAATGACATGACTCAATTCACCGGAACGTTCCCCTCAAGCCAACTATCCATCACCACTGTCGCAGGATACTTCCTATCCCCCAATCGAAGCAATACCTGCATATGGCCCTCAAACCCTTGCCCTTCAAAAACATGCAAAACAGCCTCCGTCCCCGCAGCTTTCAACGCCGCAACAAACTCAACTCCCTGCCGAATATCCCCATGTCTATGAGTATGCAGAAGCAAGAATGCATGGGCATTGGGTGCGCGGGCATGATATGTCGGTGACATGTCGTGTAATCGGGCTAAATCAGTACCGAAGGCGTCAAGCATGTGGTCCGCAATCTGGCCGGGGTTATCGTTGAGTTCGGCTGCGGCGTTGTAGTTTGAGCCGTCGAGGGCGATGACGGCTTGCACGATGGAGACGCTGGTTCCCGCTCGTTCGAGGTAGCGAGTATCCGTTCCTAGGAGGGTGACGACGTGTGCACCGGAACTGTGGCCCATGAGGACGACTCGTTCGGGGTCGATAGAAAGATCGGATGCATTCTTCACGAGATAGTTGATCGAATTGGCTATCTCTTGTACTTGTTCTTCCACCGTCACGGTGGGGAAGAGTGTATAGTTGATACTCGCAAAGGCATAGCCTAGCTCGGTCAAATGACCAACTTTGGTAGATCCGATGGAATCCAGGTTCGTCCCTGATCGCCAACTGCCGCCATGCACGAAGACGATAATCGGGGCTTTGGATGATTCGGATGACTTGCTTGGATTGGCTTTCCAAAAGCGGAGATGCTGGGTGTCTGTCTTTCCGTAGACCATGTCTATTCCGCCAGTGGGTTGGTCTGCGTGCATTTGTGACATGAGCTCTCCTACTCTGGGTAGCTCAAAGTCGTCTTCCGTTTTTTGGAAGATGTCGAGCCCTGTGATTTCATTGCCTCTAGCGGCGATGACTATCGGGTCGAGGGTGTTGGTTGGAGAATTGGCATTGGCATTGGCATTGGAATCCATTATTGCGGTGATGAAGGTTGAAAGGAAATTCAGGGCAGAGCCTTGTTTGAATGGAAAATGATGAACCAGGCAACATCTCTGGTACGCGGCATACTCGCAATGGAGTTGCCTTGCTCAATCTTGATTGGTTCAACCTCCACTGAATATTTAAACATCCTGTTCTGTGATTGGCTCCTCCCCTGTCGGTTTATCTTTGGGTGCTAGTTTATTGCAATGTAGTATCAACCTACATATTGCGAGCACAAGCCCTCGATTACGAAATGTGCTGCCTGGTAAGTTAGACAATATAGAAAAATGAAATGATTTATGGGTTCCTTCCCAAGAAAGCATCGTATCCTAGGACTACGAAATATGGGAGCCTAGTCGGTTGTTTGTAAGTACTATCCCAAACAATCCATCGTTTCAAACAGGGATATCCTTAGGGACCAAGCTTTTATCCCATAAACTCTATAACTGATCCTAATAGTAACCATACTTATACCTCCGAGAGGTAGCCTTAAAATGACCCGTTCCCGGCGTAACCACTTGGGTGTAACCCCTCGCTGATTTTGGCTGGCCTCTCGTGATCTGAGATACGAGATGAACAGGAAAAAAGAGCCGAAAGAAGAGAAGCTTGATGGTTGGAGCACTTTATGTCCGACTCAAATATTCCGCTCTACATATTAAAGCGAGCTTTGCCAGCTCTATAAATTAGTAGATTATATCACCGATGGACGGGTCCGGTTGCTGGCTCTATCTTCTCCCATATCAGATTATAGCAATTGTATTCTGCGTTTACACATCACATCAATCATTCTCCCTTAGGTAGAACATCCAATATAGCCATAATCAAGTCCATCCTCTTTATCCTCTCTATTACCAGCCTCGTCTTCGCAAATCCATCCCCGCCATTGACAAAGCGTGCATCCTGGGTCGCAGCTTTCTAGAAGGGGTGCAGATCCTCAATCTACGTTTGAAAGCACCAAGTAAACTTGATTTCTGTAGGATAATTGCTCCAAATCCGTCTCTCCGGGAAGAGTTGTTGGCTCGGGCGAAAGAGCCTGCAGTCCTGTCGGGGGCGCGGATTGTATGAATGGAAGTCCGGACCTAAATAGTGGATATGTGATATGTGCATACCATGGGGCGAACTGTGATGGGTGGCACACAGGTCTTGGTGACTCGGGACTCTCTGGTCATGCTGTCATTTATGAGAATGGTGGTGTTCAATCCATTGTAAGTCGTCCTGGAAAACCTAATTGGTACTTATGCTGATTTGCTGGTAAGAACTCGTTTGAGGTTATTCCCTCGGGGTCGTGCTGAACCTATCGTTGGTTAATATACTAAGTTGGCTAAGGTATACCCAGAGACTAGCGCGGTCGTAGCTGTGGAATTGTAGCTAATTATTCTCTCTCAAGGCCGGGGATACAAAAATGAATATTCTTCGCCCTTGCGTTCATTAAAGGAGCACAGATCATTGAAGCCCAATCATCTATCAGTCAAGTGACATTCAATGTAAAGGTTAAGATTGATAATATTGACTGACAGGGCTATTCGAGCAGTCTATCCGGGTAGATAGCGCATGTACTGCAAGCCCCATTTACAGCTTACTATCCTTCCAATCAGGCTTCCTCTTCTCAACAAAAGCCTTAAGCCCCTCCTTAATATTCTCCCCTTCATACAACCGCCGCACCCAAGTATCATTCAACATAACCGTCCCCTCCTCAGCCCCAATGCCCTCCCATCCCAACTTAACCCCCTCCCGACTAACCAGCACCGCATCAGGACTATTTCCCGCAATCTCAGACGCAACCTGCACCGCCCGCTCAACCACCTTCTTCGACACCGCATCATCATCGACCTTGCCACCAGCGCCAACGCAATCATCCACATTGACAATTTCGTTGATCAATCCCCACCGCTCAGCTTGTTCAGCGGTGTATGGCCGGCCCGTCAGAGCCATCTCCATGGCGCGCTGTTTGCCTACTGTTCGGACCAGACGGGGCAGGGCACCTGCGAGTGCGACGACTCCGCGCTTCACCTCGGGGAGACCCAGGGCAGCGCGAGAGGAGGCGATGACTAGATCGGAGTTGATCATCATTTCGGCGCCGCCACCGAAGCAGAGACCGTTCACGGCGCAGAGGACGGGCTTGCGGCCCTTGCGGCGGGATAGACCGCCAAAGCCGGAGGTTGGCATGGGGGATTTGGAGGTTGATGATTGGGTGCAGTTGTTCCATTCTAGGACTTGGTTAGCTATGCATTCATGTGTAATAGTATATTTTAATGTATTGATGTGTAGGATGTTAGTAGTTGTCGAGGTACATACCTTTCAAATCAGCTCCCGCGCAAAAAGCTCTCCCTTTGCCGGTCAGAATGCCGACTCGCAGACTGGGCTCGTCGTCCATCCACTCCCACACTTCATGCAGCTCTGCATTGCCCTGTGAATTGATGCAGTTCAGGTCTCTAGGTCGGTTGAGAGTTACTAGGAGGACGTGCGGAGCTGGGAAGGACAGCAGGGCATATTGGGGGGTTGGTGGTGGACGGGCGAAACTCGGCATTGCTGCGGTTTGGAGGTTGTTCGAGTTTGGTAAATTTCAAGATATGTTGATGAAATTTGATGTGGAGATAGTAGTCGAGGGAGATCAATGTTTAAGGTTGAAGTGAAAGAGGGCGAGTGGGAGTAGTAATGAGTGGGGGTTGCAAAGGAGCCCGGCTGTTATTTGGGAATTGCGGAGATGCCGAGGGCCGATGCGGAGGTGAACCGGTGCTGACTGCGACTGCCAGCAGGCTCATTCGAGTTTATTGATTACTGATTATTTTTGATTGCTAGTAGTTACAGTATGCCTTTATTACACAAGAAGAGAGACTTTATCAATAATATTCCATTATTACTGACTCGTAGTGAGCACTGGTAATGCCCAGAAGCCGAGGTATAGCCGAGTAGACCATACGGCCAATATTCACAAAGCTAGGCTTCCTAGGGAAACCAAGAATCTAGAGAGGAAACAGAGCTACATCCAATATTTAATAATATTTAAATGGTCGGTAGATCCTGCATTACCGCCTAGTTCCTTCAATATAAAACAAAACAACACCCCCCCCCCCTCGTGCATACCCCAGTCCCCAAGTAAACGCCAGAGAAATCACAAACGCTCCCACAGCAAATCACTGATAGATATGGATATCAAGGATGAAAAAAGAAGCAGTGCATAGCCAGAAAAATCAATTTCTCTAGGTTTGTATGACTACACCTTGTTGATCCACCCGCTGTGTACCATAAAGTCGTAGATGCGGCTGGTCTTTGTGCCCTCGATCTATGAATGAATTAGCAAGTATTCAAAGAACAAGTGATAGTTTGGTTGAGAGAAATGTGGAGCTCACCTTGCAAATCGCACGGGCGTCCTTTTTCTTCAGGTTGCCGCCCTGCTTCATTGCCTCCTTCAAAAGCGTTTCCTTGACGACCAGATACGGCTTGGGCATGAGATGTAGCACGTTGCACACTTCAATCTCTTCTGGAGTGAGGAGGTGAAGATCAGCCGCGCGGTCACTGTCCAGTTTCCATGCCGGCACCCCGCTTAGTGGCTGCACGACAAACTTGGTCTTCACAGGCGGCGCGGGTGCAGCATCTCCATTCGTCGCAAACATAAGGTCAAAGTCATTCATAGGCATATTGGCTGGGTCAGGCTGCTTATGAGGATTGGCAGCCTTCTGGAGCCGGAGAGGCAACTCTGGAGTAGTGAGCTGATTCGCGGAAGACGGTGGTTCAACGGCTTGAGCCTGTTTGGGACGCGGGGTGGCAAAGCGATCGAAAGATCCTTGAGGAACCATCCGTTGAGCACGCTGTTGCTTGTCCTGCTCGAACTTCTCACCGGCTTTCAGATCACCGATGCCCATCTGCCGCCACTCTTGGAGCTGCGTGATTGCCAGGCGCAAATTGTGCTCATACTCTAGTCCCTTGTTCACATCATCAAAGTCCTTGTGGTTCATCATTCGGGCCAACGGCTTGGCTTTGTGCAGCAGTTCACGCTCCTCTTTCGTGCGTTTCTTCTCCAGCGCGATATTCTTCCGGTATTCTAACAGGTTGTGTTCGAAGAGCACCTTCTTGCGCTCTGTTCGTGCCGTCAGCCGTGAGTTGTAAATATCGACCACGGTCATCTTCAATTCGGTCTCTGCATCAATCTCGCCGTTGGGGCCAATGCCAGCCCCGGGCTCGAAGGTCATATGTTGAACCGCCTCCTCAGCATCGTTGAGGAACTCCGTCTCAAACTCCAAACGACCAGGCATATATCCTTGTACTTCGTGACATGCCGGTACACTAGCGGTTGGCTTCTGTTTGGGTGTTGTTGGTGGCGCCGCCTTAGCAGCCTCTTTGCGCTCCTCAATCCGACGCTTCTTGCGCGTCTGGAATTCTTCTTTTGAGATCGCTTCCTGGAGACTCTTATCCTCGGGATCGGCTCGGTTTGGTAGCGGGAAGTTGGAGCTGTTGATATATGTGTCGATGTAGTGGTCGCGTACCTCATCCTTAGTGCGGTAGCCACCAATGTGATCAGAAATGTCAGCCCACGACCCCAGACCGTAGATCTCAGCGCCCTCTAGCAAGAGAAGCTCCTCGTCGGCACCCCAATCTGGCTGGAAGATTGGGACAGAGTTCTGTTCGATGACTTGGAAGGGGTGGGTAGGCGGGTCGTGGTTCTTGGAGCTTTCCCCAGCTGCGAAGCAGGGAACACAAAGGTCATATTCATGGCAGGAGGGATGCGCGCAGGAAATTCGGACCTAACACGACGCGACGCGACACGAGTCAGTTATCTGATCCACCATGGCTTGGATATAATCTCACTGTTGATGTGACGTCGACCGAGCACACGTCGCAATGGAACTTGGTGCCGGCCTCTGTGCCGCGCGATGCGGTCTTTTTCCGTATTACACCCATCGATCCTTGGCCCTTTTCATCCTCCGCTAAATCCGACGCCGTCGCGAAATCCCAAAATCGCCCTCCAGAGATCTGAGAGGGCAACCACGTATGTTGGTTGAGCTAAGAGGTTGAGAAGGGGGGCGGTTTCCGGGCTGAGGTGAGATCCTGGGGTAGGGATCTCCGCAGACCGGGTGGGGAGATATTCCGAAGCAGCGATAAAACACCAGGGAAAAATGGGGATATAACCGGGATTAACTGATAAAAATTGCGATGGGTGAAGCTTGCAGAGCGATTTGTCGTGATCAAATGACTCGATGTGGTCTGGTCGCGAGTGGACTCCATTTTGGAGTTGAATCTCCCAAGGGAGGAAGTGTGGCGGCTGCACTGCCTCAATTCGTGTGGCTGGTGCTGCATTCAGGAGTCACTGGAAACTTTAGTCATCTTAGTCAGCGGTGCGCAGCCCCTCCCGTAATACCGGTATTGTCATCAGCCACTGCCCTACGAGGGAATGGGCTAATCAGAGTCCATTTGGCTGTAATTAATCGTAATTCTGATGACAGCCTCTCAGGCCTGAGGCCACCAACGGGCTTCCCCTCCCGACTCGCCCTCCTCTCTTACTTCTTCGATCACCCTGAAAGGTCGTGGATCTTCTCTCTCCAAGATCTTTTCCCCCCCTTCACTTTGTACTTTTTTTCCTTCAGTGTCTTCCTTCTCCCCCGGTGTGTCCAGAAGGTAAGCGTGTGGTGAGCGGTGATCGTGGCTTCTCGGCTGCGTGGCGCTGATCTTGTGTGGTCCCGGCTCCATTATTTTGGGAACTTCGATGTTGACTTGTTGGTGGTTCAGGCTATCTTAACACAACACACTGCGGTCGACCTCTTGGATCTTGATATTCGTCTGCTGTGTGGTTCCCTGGCCTTGAAACCGCTACCATGTCCTGGAAGCTCACCAAAAGTATGTTCAGTTGGTCTCCCTATCTCTCCTTGTCCATGTTACCCCCCTCATCCCCTCCCCCTCTACGGGGTATGTGAGGCTGGTATAACCTCGGTGACAATCGCTAATTACATTCTCTTACAGAGCTCAAGGAGACGCATTTGACGTCGCCCTTGACCACCTTTGGCCGCTCGTCATCCACGTCCACAATTAAGGGTGATTCGAATGGCGGTGGTGACGAGACACCGGTGGCTCCCCATGCCCCCAGTGTCATCTCAACTGCGTCGACAAATGGGATCGGTATGACAATCTATTTAAGGGGTACATTGGGAATTGAGTTCCATAAGGCTAATTTTATCCCCCCGCATGGGATCAAATAATACAGCTGCCTCGGAGTCGCTCGTCTCTCCCCCCGTTGCGCCCGTCAAGCCAGGCATCCTTATTGTGACTCTCCACGAAGGCCAAGGATTCTCCCTGTCCCCCCACTACCAGCAGATTTTCAACTCCCACTTCCAAAACAACTCGTATGCGCCATCTTCTTTGCGCCCCAGCACCTCCTCATCTTCACACTCCTCCCACGGGCAAGCGGGCTCGTTCGTGCAGTCCACTCGGCCGCAGTCTACCAGTGGAGGCCTGAACGCTGCCCCGACCATCCACGGCCGTTACTCCACCAAATACCTTCCCTACGCCCTTCTTGATTTCGAAAAGAACCAAGTCTTCGTCGATGCCGTGTCGGGTACTCCCGAAGCCCCCTTGTGGGCCGGTGACAGCACGGCTTTCAAGTTCGATGTGTCCCGGAAGACCGAGCTAAACGTGCAGCTGTACCTCCGCAATCCCACCGCCCGACCTGGCGCCGGTCGCAGTGAGGACATCTTCTTGGGTGCTACCAAGGTTAACCCACGCTTTGAGGAGGCCGGCCAACCATACGTGGAGGACCCCAAGCTTAGCAAGAAGGACAACCAAAAGGCTGCTGCCGCTCATGCGGAACAAGAACGTACCATGGGCCAACTGGGTGCTGAGTGGCTGGACCTCCAGTTCGGTAGCGGTTCCATCAAGATTGGTGTTTCCTTCGTTGAAAACAGACAGCGCAGTCTTAAGATGGAGGACTTTGACTTGTTGAAGGTCGTCGGCAAGGGTAGTTTCGGCAAGGTCATGCAGGTCATGTATGTCACTCTTGACACTCTCTTTGTTTCATGTTGCGGGTTGCTGACTATGTTTCTTCTCAAACAATACAGGAAGAAAGATACCGGCCGAATTTACGCCCTCAAGACCATCCGCAAGGCTCATATCATCTCCCGATCCGAAGTTACCCACACCCTTGCAGAGCGATCCGTGCTGGCACAGATCAACAATCCTTTCATTGTCCCGTTGAAGTTCTCGTTCCAGTCGCCTGAGAAGTTGTACCTTGTTCTCGCATTCGTCAATGGTGGAGAGTTGTTCCACCATCTGCAACGAGAACAACGATTTGACATTAACCGCGCCCGGTTCTACACTGCCGAGCTGCTGTGTGCCCTTGAGTGCTTGCACGGTTTCAAGGTTATCTACCGTGATCTCAAGCCCGAGAATATCCTTCTTGACTATACCGGCCACATCGCCCTTTGCGATTTCGGTCTTTGCAAGTTGGATATGAAGGATGAGGACCGGACAAACAGTAAGTCGATTTTTTTTGTCTCTGTTGGGCTGTTTCGCTAACCAAACGCAGCCTTCTGCGGTACTCCTGAGTACCTTGCCCCCGAGCTGCTGCTTGGCAATGGATACACGAAGAGTGTCGATTGGTGGACTCTTGGTGTCTTGCTCTACGAGATGTTGACGGGCCTGCCGCCATTCTATGACGAGAACACCAACGAGATGTACCGCAAGATTTTGCAGGAGCCCTTGACCTTCCCCAGCAGTGATATTGTCCCCCCAGCTGCTCGGGATCTTCTTACCCGCCTGCTCGACCGCGATCCTCAGCGTCGTCTCGGTGCCAACGGTGCCGCAGAGATCAAGTCGCACCACTTCTTCGCTAACATTGACTGGCGCAAACTGCTTCAGCGGAAGTATGAGCCTAGCTTCCGTCCCAATGTGGTATGTACATCTAAATTCAAGCGTCTTTTGAATGATCATTGCTCACTCTTTCTGTGTAGGTGGACGCTCGTGACACCGAAAACTTTGATAAGGAATTCACTGGAGAGATGCCCCAGGACTCCTATGTCGAAGGTCCCGCCCTATCCTCCACCATGCAACAACAGTTCGCCGGATGGTCTTACAACCGTCCAGTGGCTGGTCTTGGCGATGCCGGCGGCAGTGTCAAGGATCCTTCTTTTGGCAGCATCCCGGAGTGAAAGCAGGATCTACTCCAGGCTGTTAGCCTCAACAATTAGATCGAGGATGATTGGTGTGTGTGACGTGGTTCATAGATACGATTCTCCTTTGTACCGTGTTTTGTTCTTGATCCACATATCACCAATCTTGATCATTTGCCTTGTTTCGTCTTGACCTTTTTTATTCCTCCACAGCTTTCCTTGTTCTCTTCCCTTTCATCCTAAGGAGTCCGCGGCATATTCTTTTCTCGCGGGGGTTTGCCAGTTCCCGAGGCTGCAATGTTTCTTCATCTGTCCTTCTCCTTGTCTCTCCAGTTCCCCCCAAATCTCACCACCTCTGAGCGCTTGATTTGTTTCTCATCATTCCCATCTCAGCGTTCGCCAACCCTATCAACACAGGCAGGTTCCTTTGCACCCTTGTTTTTCGTTTGATGTACTCAAGCGGTCATTACCTGTCTAGTCGTATCCGTTTCTCTGTGTATCCGGTCCAGTTTTCGGGTGCGAGATGTTCGCACTCTCCATATCCTTTGGCAGAGTCTGGACGGACAATGCCAAGTCAAGTTTCCACTGGAATCCAGATCAGTAAAGCGTAGTATATGGATTACAGATTGTCGTACACAGTGTCTGGAATGGGCATCGACCTCCCCATACTCACACAGACGTACTTTCCCTGGCATCTAATAGCATCAGGCTTGGCCTGCGACAAACATAAGAATTACACTTTGAAATAGCTCCAAGGCAAGAGACTTCATCATTTGTATCTATCATTCAATCTCCGGCAAAACCCGCCAAGAATTGAAACCTGTCACAGCGGGATTACAGCAATAAGAAAAGCCAAAAAATGGAACATGAAGAAGAAAGGTGAAAAAAAATAAAGAGAACGAACAAGAGATGTCGGACACACGTTAAGACGCCGCTCGCAATTCAAAATCTGGACATTCAAGTCCCCCAACTTGATCAGGTTGGGAAACTGAAACAAAAATAATAATAAAAGACAAATGCTCTATTCAACGCATCCGCGAGCCGTTAAACTGCCTTTGAATACAAACCGATTCCCTTCAATTCCCTTTTTACTCCTCTTCCTCAGCTTCAGCCTCGGCTTCGGGTTCGTCCTCAGCTTCGGCTTCCTCCGCGGGGGCACCGTTCGTAGCGGTCTCCTTCTCGTCGTCACCGTTGATATCGATCAGGGACTCGGAGGAAGGGGGCTCGGGGACGACACCCTCCTTCTCGAGGCGGATGTACTCATCCCACTCGGGGAACAGGTCGTCATCAGTGGAGATGATATCGGGGGCACCGGGTGGGACACCGACGAGGCGAGCGACCTTGGTCTTGCCCGATGTCTCAAGGGAGGCCTTCCACTGCACGACGAGTTCGGGGGCACGAGAGGGCTTGTAGGTCTGAGCGAAGAGAACGGACTCGGCGAGGCGGTTGGTCTTAATGAGCAGGTCAATGCAGCCATCCACGTCACCCAGGGACCAGAGTGTGGAGAAGGCAACGTTGTGCAGACCAGAGTCGGAGGCTTGAACGGCCAAAGCGCGGAGGCCCTCCCGGTTGTTGGAGGCAGTGTGCAGCAACAACAGGGAACCCACATCCTTGGCCTGGGTGAAGCATTCCTGGGCCAGAGCGAGATTCCAGCTGGCCAGGGCGGCGTCACCGATAGCCTTCCACTTGTGCTCAACGTTGGCGAGGCGAGCAATCTCGAGAGCTGTCTCGAGATCATTGAGAGACAGAGCCAAGTCAAATCGGTGCTATGATTGAGCCAAAGTTAGCGAGTTCGTGCCAAACATTGATCACGCAAGAGCTGCACTTACCTCTGGGTCGGTTGCTACTTCAAGAGCCTGCTCCTTGTACCCTTGTCCCTCAAGGAAGCGGGCGATCTTGTTCATCTGGTCCTCAGGAACATCCTGAAGCACCTCGGCAGCGGCTTCAGTCTCATTCCGAAGAATGAGTGTCTCGTACTGAAGAACAGCGAGGGACAGGGCGAAAGAAACAACGTTGACATCCTTATCGGACAGGTAGATCCGGCCATCACGGGGCAGATAGCCGAGGACATACATGGGCTGGTCGAAGTGGGAGATGGTGTAGGTCTGATCACCAACAAGGTAGTTGAGGCGGTTGGTAGAGTTGGTGTAGATGAAGCAGTCGCCAACCCACTCTCCAGTGCGGACGGTCTCGTTGACGGTAGCGACAAGCTCCATGGCCGCCTCGACACCATCTTCATCGGCCTCTCCATTGTTCAATCCCTCAATGTAGGCCTCGCGGGAGTAGCGGAGAACGTAAAAGGCATCCTCGCAAGCAAGCGTCACCAACTCTCCAGACTCGGACCAGTGGACCTGTAGATAGAGATTAGTTAACAGATGTCGAGTTCGGCGCGAGTAAACTTACGGATTTGGGATCAGCCTCAATGCGGCGGACTAGGTTACCAGACTCCCAATCGAACAGGCCAATGCCACCTTGTCCCTTAACACCGAGCAACACACCATCGCTAAGTCCCTCGGCTTGGAATCCGACATCAAGACCTCCAGGCTGTTCCTTGAAGTTCTTGAAGATCTTGACACTCGTTGCCGACTCACGAATAGCGTAATCATTGCTGTTGTCCTTGGAGCCCCAGGCAAAGTCAAGAGCGGAACCGAAGGCCTTATTACGCCACGCGAGAGCAGTATAGATAATGTACTCTCCATCACCGCAGACGGAAACAAATCGGCCGTTAGGGTTGTGTGAGAGGGTCTGGGGGTAGACCTCGCACTGTCCAAGATCCTTTGTTGGGAGCGAAATAGGCTCTCCGTCCTTCACGCTGGCGTCGCCCTTGATCATGGTAGACACAACCTCGCTATGCCTGGCGTAGATAACCTTGCCTGATCCATCCATTGAGACGGCAGGCTCCTCACGACCCATCTTCACAACCACTGCACCATCATCAAAACCCATGGCAATTCCTTGCCGGCCCTGCTGGTAGGAGACACACCATGCACGCTCCAGGCCATAGCTGAGTGACTGCTCCAGGCGGTAGGTGTTGGCGTGCCAGATCTTGATAGTGCCATCTTCGGAACCGGAGATAATGACGGGAAGCTCAGGGTGGTAGCAAGCGAAAGAAACATTGCTGGTGTGGCCTTCTAGGGTTGCAATGAGGGCCTTGGTGGTGTAATCCCAGACCTAACGGTATTGATGTCAGTACGATGAGCCTTTGGACGAAGCCCTCGACCCGACTTCTTGCTTACCTTCACAGTCTTGTCATCCGAGGTGGTCAGGAGATACGGCTTGTCCGAGCCCGGGTAGTAATCAACGTGGTTGACTCCTTTCGTCTCATGAGCCTCCAGTGTATAGTTGGCGTGAGGGGAACCGAGGTTCCAGATCTTGACAGTTCGATCCAAGCAGGCCGTGGCAAAAGTATTGGTATCCTTGGGGTTGATGGCCATTCCCATCACATAGTGGCTGTGACCCTCAAAGACCTGAACACACTTCCAACCCTTCTCCCAGTCCCACAATCGCACCGTCATGTCATCACTTGCGGTCAAAACGTAGGGCTGGGTGGGGTGAACGGCAATCGAACGAATGTAGTCCGGGTGCGCTTCGAAGGATGTGATCTTTTCGGAGGTGTTGTAGTTGTAGACACGGAGCTGGAAGTCATCTGAACCGCAGACAATCCAGTTCTTCCGCGCAATGAATCGACCGGCACGGACAGGGACATCGGTGAGCTCGAATGTTTTGATGATGGACTATAAAAGCTTGGTGTTAGCTATGCCAGCATCGGAGCTATGAAGAAGGCCTACCTGTGACTCGTATGACCAAATGTAGACATGACCTGTTGCAGGAGATTAGCACCACTAGCACATCGGAGGTCCCTCGGAGTCTATCTCCCTAGACATACCGCTGTAAAGAGTAGTCAAGATCCACGGCTCCGTAGGGTGGAAATCTGTAATGCGAGATATAATTAGGTCTGCCTCATTCAATGCCTTGCGCACGAGAAAGTCGTGAGCTTACCGATTCCCTTTACCCGCTCCGAGCGGGCAAAGAGCTGCCTCTGTAAGACACCGACTCGTCAGCGATCTACTCAATTTCACAAAGCTGCATCTGGAATGCCATCGCATCTTCCACCAGAAAGCAAAAACCACCGCAATGTCTGTGTTCGCGTACCTTGACGTCGAGCCGCATGGTGTGTGGGGGACGAGACGAGTGTTTGTGTGGCGCGGTGTTGGGCCTAGGAGAGCGAGGGGCGATTCCACGAGCCGCTCAGATAGCCCGAGTAGTGAGCGGCAGACGGGCCTCGAATTCGAAGAAGAATATTTCGAAAATCACAAAGATTTCTCGTCTGGAGGAGAGCTGGGGGTCATTCAGGGACAATGTATGTGTCCACAAGGGATTCCCGCCGCCACTCACCGCCTTCCGGGCGATGCGACGCTCCCGCATAGGCTGTTGACAACTTTGATGAACACGAATATGATGAGCAGCAAACGACTAGGAGGGTCAATGGCAGTGAATCTAAGTTGGGTACAATGTACAATCAATTTTAACTGATTAAATGGGAATTTCTCTTCAATTGTGAATATGACTACACTAGCAAAGGCGACCTTGAAGGGCACACTAATGCCGCATTAGCCACTGGCATCCATTACATACTTCGCCGGGTCGGCTCCAGAATACACCCAAGTCCAGCTACATACCTATTTCCAAATCCCAAGGTGTTTCGCAAAATATGTCAGTACGTGAATAGCACTAGCAGTGCTACTGGACCTCTTTGCTAAGCATCAAGAAGCCTCGAGAATAAAAGAAGTTGGAACATGAGAAATAAGTGTATTGGAACAACCTGCCCTCTAATAAGTACAGAAACGGGCCTCAAGCCCTTTTTCATAAATCGCTTCAGTTTCCGCGCTCAAAGTAAGTCCACTGGCCAGGGACGGGCTTCTCCTCCAGCTCCTCCCACCTGTATAATTTGTAAGTATACTAAAATCAAAATGTGGAGTGATTGTCTTGTTGGCACTTACACCTTAGCCTTGTACAGCTCATCAGTCAGCTTGAGCTCGGCCTCAGCAACCTGAATGATCTCCTCGATGAGACCGGCGCCGATCTTCTGCTCAATCTGGGAGACCCTAGATATCAATGTTAGTTTGCGAATGGGTAGCTCTTCACCTGGGATTAACCAGTCTACTTACTGCTCAGCCTCGAGAGCGGGCTCGTTCTCCCAGGACATGTGAGTCTCATAGTGATCAGCCTCCACCTTATCGGCGGTGGAGCTGGACTCCTCGAGAATCTTCTGCCACTCGGCGGCCTCTTGCGGGGTCCGAGGACCCTCGGTCGAGCTGGTCAGGCCCTCGCCGTCCCACTCCTCACCACGAGCGTTGTCACTGCCATCGGGTTGCTGTGAGCCAACGTATGCGAATGTGCCGTCAGAGCGCTGGAGTTGGGCAAATCGCTCGGGCTCCGCGCCAACGGTCTTCTTCACGCGCTCCAACCACTGCTCGAAACCGGGGGCTTCTGAGACTCAACGATCTGGAGACGGTGGCGAGTCAAGGCTTCGACGGACTGGCGGTAGGCGGAGGACTCGGGGAAGTTGGACAGCTTCTGGAGAGTGGTGGTGTAGAGGTAGATCAGAGTCGGACGGGGGCTCGGGTGGGTGGTGAGGCCAGTCAATCCGGTGGGAGCAAAGGGCTCCAGATACCGGGGCTTGACATTGGCCAAAAGCCGAAGTGTAGACCGCATTATGGCGTGAGGTAGAGGGGGAATTGATTTTGGCTGCGCAAGTTGGGGCCCAGGGTGATGATGATGGAAAGGGAAGTCGAAGTCGGCCCGGAGCGGATAAACTTGAGATCCCTCCTCCATGGCCAGGCCTGGCAGGGGGAGCCACCTTTTCCTCCCTAATCTACACACACGCGCGCGCGCAAACTTCTTATTTCTTTCGGACGCTGTGTTGTCTAATCTTGTTCTTCTCAGGGCTCGGGGATTGTCCTTCCCTGTTTCTCTTGTTTCTTTTTTGGCTGGTTGATCAGCATTCAACTCACGCCAGTTTTCGCCCCCCGTCCGATGTGCCACCTGTGACATTTCCGCGATCCTCCCTTTTTCGACCAACGTCCCTCGTTTTCAACTCTTCTCCAGAGCCTCTGCCCTGGGGCTCACCTACACTTTCTCTTGGTTTTGCTTTTGGAGGTTTAGACCTCTTTTCCTTTGGTCACAATGAAGGTTTCCTGGTTGGGGTGGTCCCTCCTTTCACTGGTGACCGTGCCTACATTAGCCGCGCCCTCGGAGTCGGAGACAAAGGTTGGCAATCGACTGGAAAAACGGCGGAATAGCCGTGGTGTCGATGCCGAGGAACCCTCGATCTTTAATGGACTCGACGTCCCACCGTTGCTCCAGTTGACGCCCGATAACTACGAGGAGTATCTCAAAGATGGAACTTGGTCAGTGTCTTTTGTTTCTTCAAAACATTATCAATTCCTATTTTCGACCATACTGATTGTCTACAGGCTCGTGAAGCACTACTCACCATCATGCGCCCACTGCAGAAAAGCTGCGCCTGCCTATCAGACCACATACGAGTACTACTATGTACGGGACCAGCGAGAAGGGTATCAAGAAGGGCCTCACAGCTAACATACATTTATAGACTTCTAATCCCCTTTCTCCATCATCCGCCAAATCCCCCGACCCGAAGTCTCTCAACGGTTTCACCAGCTACTACAACTTCCATTTCGCCTCCATGAACTGTCTGGCCCACGGAGACTTGTGCGAGAAACTTGGTATCGGCGCTTACCCCATCTTTGCATTCTACGAGGAGGGTGTTCAAAAGGACAAGCATGTTGGCGCCAAATCGGTCGCGGACCTGAGCAAGCTTATCGAGGAGAGGCTCGAGGCGATCAAACCTGGTTCTCGTCCCCCACAGGGCATTAAATTGCCCGAGGTTGGCGCATCTGGCGTCGACTCATCTGCTGAACCCGACTCCCCCGTTGCCAAGGACAAGGACCCCCAGGCTGGTGCTCTGGCTGGCGAGAAGCACAACGACCTGGTTGCTCAAAAGTCCACGGACGCGGCCGATGCGACGGAGAGCGACAAGCCCGGTAGTGCTATCACTGTCAAGACGAAGCACAATGGACCTCCCCCTAACCCGCAGGGCCTTTCCGTTCCTCTTACTGCCGAGAGCTTCCAGAAGCTTGTGACTACGACTCGGGATCCGTGGTTCATCAAGTTCTACGCTCCCTGGTGTGGACACTGCCAAGCCATGGCCCCTAACTGGAAGGAGATGGCGAAGGAGATGAAGGACACTTTGAACATCGGTGAAGTGAACTGTGAAGTCGAGACTCGCCTCTGTGCGGACGCTCGAGTTGACGCATACCCCACTATCTACTTCTTCCGTGGCGGTCAGAGAGTTGAGTACACCGGTCTCCGCGGCCTGGGTGACCTACTCTCCTACACTAAGAAGGCTGTCGGTACCGGTTCTGAGATTGAAGACGTCGATGCGGCCACTTTCAAGGAGCTGGAAGAGACCGAGGAGGTTCTTTTCTTGTATTTCTATGACATTGCGACCACCTCGGAGGACTTCCGTGCTATGGAGCGCCTGACTCTCAGCCTCGTGGGCCACGCTCGCATCGTTAAGACTAGCAGCGCTGCTCTCGCCGAGCGATTCAAGATCTCTACTTGGCCCCGTCTTCTGGTCGTCCGTGATGGCCGACCCAACTACTACAATGCCCTAGCTCCCAAAGATATGCGCGACTTCCGCCAAATGCTCTCCTGGATGCAGACTGTCTGGCTGCCCATCGTCCCCGAGCTCACGGCTTCCAACGCTCGAGAGATCATGGATGGCAAGTTCGTCGTGCTTGGTATTCTCAGCCGCCGCCGCTCCGACGACTTCAAGCAATCCAAGCGCGAATTGAAGGAAGCTGCTTTCGAGTGGATGGACAAGCAGATTCAACTCTTCCGACTTGAGCGCTCGGAACTTCGTGATGCTAAGCAGCTACGTATCGAGGAGGCCGATGACCGCAATGATCAGCGCGCGCTGCGGGCTGCGAAGAATATGCGCATCACCATCCGTGAGGACGAGAAGAAGCCCGTCGCATTTGCCTGGGTGGATGGCGACTTCTGGGAGCGTTGGCTGCGTACCACCTACGGTATTGATGTGGAACAAGGTGATCGTGTGATCATCAACGACGAAGACGTAAGTTTCACCTTATTCCATCTTGGATATTAATATAAACTAACTCCTGGCAGAACCGTCGTTACTGGGATACTGCTTCTAGCGGAGCTTCTATCATGGCCTCGCGTACCTCCATCCTCGAAACCATCCCTCTCGTCGTCGCATCCCCGCCTAAATTGTCCCCCAAGTCCACTATCGGCACCTTGGAGACTTTCTTCTTCTTCACCCGCTCTTTCCTCAGCAGCCACCCTATTCTTTTCTTCGTCTTCCTAGGTATCACCGTGGCTGTCGTTACCGTCATCGGGCGTGGCCGTCTCCTGCGTCGTGTCACCCGTGGAGGTATCATTGGCAACGCCAATGGCAGCGGTGGCTTCTTCCACCTGGACGGCAAGGAGGGATTCCTGAACGGAGGCTCGACCGGCAAGGTCGATTAATGAGACGCATGTACAGTTCTGGTGTTTGGATGCGTGATTATAATTTCTTCATCTGTATTTGATTGATTCCAGGCTGCCTTTTCTTTTTTTTCCCTGTGGTTTGTTTCCTGCTCCATACGGTTCTCCCATGAATCTTTTGCATGTCGACTTGGAGTGTTGAAGCACATATTTCCTAGTCTTGTTCTATTCCTTCCTAGCTTAAATCCACGAAATTCTAGAAGATGATTTAGTCTATCTATATAGATGTAGTCAAGAGTGGGTTCTCCCTCCCACAACATAACGAGCCAATTATGTGGCCTCCAATTGGTTACGGCCCCGGAAATCACGTGATGTTCACCCGGTTTTCGTCGACCACGATGTGCAGCTCCGGTCCTTTCCTCGAGCAATTGTCCCACCTGCCCACATTAACAACAATGGTATGTCTGGTCTTGTCGTTTGAATCTGAAAGCATCTGCAATTGTGTCTCCGCCATCCGTTCGAGGTCCGGGTTAGGGGTCGTGTTGGGGCATCGCGCCATGCAATGACCCTGATATGACCCTCCGAGAGTCCTCGGGATGAGTGCGGATACCGTAGCAGACCCTACAAAGTGTATCAATGCTAACTGTGCTTCTTTAATTCAACAGGTCTTCACTCCTACTCTCCGCCGCGCCGCGGCCCAGGCCTCCACCTCCGCCTTTGCGCCCAAGTGAGATCACCCCAGAATCCCAGTACTCGGCTATAGCATGACCCTTCGATGTGGTTCGCAAATATTGGATCTGCATCGGCTCGTATATACTCTTCAGTGGAATGGGCGAGCTGGCTGTCCTATTTTGCGATTCCATGGCAACTACGGTTGTACCTAGCTTAGTCTTTGGCCTCCGGTGGCATCATGGATAACCCCCGGTGTCAATGATCTTGCGTGTTCGACTTCATATGGACGATGAATAGCTGCAACTATATACTTGGATCACCAGACTAACATGCATTCCGCTGCAGGTACACCATCCCCCGCCGTGTTGCTGGCTTCACCATCCCCGCCGCCGTCCAGGCGTAAGTCTTCTATATTTCCTTAAGCTAGGCTTCATCAGGAGCCTTGGCATTGTCATCTCTGTGTACTGACAATTGATGTTAGTGGTACTCTCGCTGCCAGCTTCGGTGTCTTCGCCGGTACCGCTGCCCTCTTCATGCTCGGCGAGGTCCCCCGTGTCCGCCGCGACATCCTCCAGCAGATTCCCGGTCTGGACACCTACTACGACCGCCGCATTGCCCCTGAGGACAACGTAAGTCCCGCTTGGATCGATATCTCTTGCATCTGGCACCGTGCTAACTCGTATTTTTAGCCCTTCTAAATGATCTGCGGTCTTACCTGGAGCGTCCTTGCTAGCAATTTCGATAATGGCAATGCATAGGGTGGTTTCGGGGCTGTGTGTAGAATAGGTGGTGAAGAGAGTCTTGTTTTTAATAGCACATAGAGGCAGCCGTTCCCAAAACCAAGCTGTGGTGATTTTCATTTGTCCTTTGATCGGGCAGCATAGGGTTGGCCATCTTTTACAGATACACCTCGGCTGTCCCTTCCCCACACGTAATGTCCCTACAGAAACTTAAAAGTAGAACACGTTAGAGAGAGTACGGAGTAGTATGTCTGATATGGCTTGACAAAGTGACCTGGTCGGGGCACTTTGCCTACTTGGGCAGGTCTACCCTCCATTGCAGATAAGCCTTTTTGTTGGATGTCACCACTCTAGTCATGTCATCCGCCTGCTTATCTTCTCTTCTACTATCACCCGATAAGACTGGCCACTAAAACATACTCCAGACAAATCAACGGCGCCTCTTTCCAGTTCACGCATGAACCTGCCCTGATGGGTTTGGAACTCTCGCCAAGTTCAACAGGGGTAGCACGGATCCCAGCGGACTGCTCGAATCGAATCGCGTCCGTTCTCTCCCTCGTCGAATCACAAGACTCGAGTGCGGAGAAAGTCCCAAATGCCGCTGATCAACTCGACGGTCTGGTACGGAACAACATGAGCAAAGCGCAATTCACTCAATTTCATATGACTGAAACCGGTCTATCGCATGGGGATTAATCAATGAATCAATCAATCAATGATAGTCTCCCCGTTATCAGCCGCGGCTGGGCTCATATTGCGGAGAAAATCATGGCGAAATGCCCCCCTTTAGATCGAAAGCGCTGCGCTACAATTGGATCCCCTCCCCCTTGTCCCACCCCCTCTTGCATCCCAAGACACTTCTAGTGCCATTCCGCCAGTCCCACGGGATCAGATACGGAAACTACTGGATAGGCTCCAGATTCCCTTTAGATCCCTGATGGCGTTTCTAATCGTCATGGGCTCCCGGGGATAAGTTCGTGCAGAGATAACCACTTGCCGAAGGGCATTGGCCTCCCCCTCGCTTTATGAGCTGATAGACCCCGAACTCGTTTAAAAATGTGACGTCTCCCTCGCAGATGGGCTAGCTCTGGACATATACAACAACGGCCATTATTGTTGAATGGTCCTCTGATTGGGATTCATTGCTGGTTACTATAGCCAGTGTCTTTCCTCTATTATTTTTAAATACTGTCCCCCATTTGGCGAATGATACGACCACCGATATGGAGACTAAATCTTCCAAGCGTCATGTATATGCCGATGCCAGCCATGCACCCGTCACGTCTGTCCTCGCCGATGGCGACGTGCCATATGTTGACCATGATATGGATGCAGATGAGCAGGTGATCGTGGCCCTAGGTTACAAGCAGGAGTTTAAGCGTGAATTCTCTCTGTGGACGACGTTCTGTGTCAGTTTTGCTGTTCTCGGCCTGTTGCCATCGTTCGCGAGTACATTGTATTATGGTGAGTTCCCATTACAACCGTGTTGTTTATAACACTTCCACTAATTGGATTCAAGGAATGGGCTATGCGGGAACCGCAGGCATGGTCTGGGGATGGATCGTTGCTATGGTGTTTATCCAATGTGTTGCAATGTCAATGGCGGAGCTCTGTTCAGCCATGCCCACGAGGTAAAATTCCCTCCACCAAGTGCAATCAGGTTCATGGATCCAGGCTAATATCTCGTTTCTCGCTTCTAGTGGCGGTCTCTATTACGCGGCAGCAGTCCTCGCACCTCCCGGATACGGACCTCTCGCCGCCTGGTTGACTGGATGGTCCAACTGGATTGGACAGATCACGGCAGCGCCATCAGTAAACTATGCACTGTCTGCGATGATTCTAGCCGCCGTGTCTATCAGCAACCCGGACTATGTCCCAACGACATGGCAGACCTTCCTCCTGACCACGCTGATCATGATCATTCACGCGGCGATCAGCAGTATGCCCACGAAGCGCGTAGCCCAATTCAACTCCTGGGGCTCAACCTTCAACATCATCGCGCTCATCGCCACCCTCATCGTCATCCCAGCCGCAACTAAGAACGAGCCCAAGTTCACCCCGTCAAAGGAAGTCTGGGGCACTATCACCAACCAGACCGACTTCCCCAGCGGTGTCGCCGTACTCATGACCTTTGTCGGCGTCATCTGGACCATGTCCGGCTACGACTCGCCCTTCCACCTGAGCGAGGAATGCTCCAACGCCAACATCGCCTCCCCGCGCGCGATCGTCCTCACATCCGGTGTCGGCGGCGTAATGGGCTGGTTCCTCCAGCTCGTAGTAGCCTACACGGTCGTGGACATTAGCGCCGTCATCGACTCCGACCTAGGCCAACCCTGGGCATCATATTTACTACAGGTCCTCCCCCAAAGAGCAGCCCTGGGTATCCTCGGTCTAACCATCGTCTGCGGCTTCTCCATGGGCCAGGGCTGCATGGTCGCCGCGTCGCGGGTGACATACGCCTACGCACGAGACGACTGCTTCCCGCTCTCGCGCATCTGGAAACAAGTCAACCCCTACACGCAAACCCCCGTTAACGCGGTGATTCTCAACGCCGTGCTGGGAATACTAATGTGTCTGCTCATCCTGGCTGGCAGCGTCGCTATCGGCGCGTTATTCTCCATCGGCGCTATTGCGCAATTCGTTGCGTTCGCGATCCCCATTTTCATTCGTGTCTTTTTCGTGGGCCATCGTTTCCGCAAGGGACCCTGGCATTTGGGTCCGTTTGGGCCGTATATTGGCGGGTTAGGCGTTGCGTTTGTTGTCCTCATGGTGCCGATTTTGTGTCTGCCCAGTGTTACCAAGGGGGATTTGACGCCCGATCTGATGAATTGGACTTGTTTGGTGTATGGTGCGCCGATGCTGGCCGTGCTTATTTGGTGGGCGGTTGATGCGCGCAAGTGGTTCACTGGGCCCAAGGTTAACGTTGAGCATTCTATTCATCCGGTTGTCAGTGAGGGTATGGAGCCTGATGAGCATGCGGAGACGGAGGTTACAACGACGTCGGCAAAATCTGCCGAAGATAAGTTGTAGGGAGTCTGGTCTGTATACTCTGGGCCTTTGTGTGGAGTTTGGAGAGTTCCTTCGATGGATGATAGTTCTACAATGTCTTTTTAACTGGTACTGTGTACCCTATTTAATGATGCTGCTGTATATGAGGAGCAATGGATATATCACAATCACAATAACCATAATGGTCTAATTCAAGAATTCAACCGTACGTACAGTCTTCTTGCCAAGTCTCGGAGATTCCTGGGACTTTTGTCCCGTATAGACCTTCCGTTTTCGGAAATGTCCACTGCTAGAAGTACCTAATGGGTAGAAACCCACCGTATAAGCTGCAACCGTGGAGATCACAAGAATCTGGGGATCAACTGGGCCCCTCCGGGCTAGAGGCTGAGAACATTCGATCATTCTGGATCTAGACCCAGTGCCCCATCTCGTCGCATATTTGGGTTGGCGATGTGGCTCCCGGGATGGAGTTGTGGGCTTGCTCCACTAGCCCCAGGTGCTTAAATCCTCTTGGTATGTGAGTAAGCGAGGGGTAGAATGTGAGAAATCAGGGCGATGCAAAAATATAGTTGAGTGTAGGTTCTGATGTACGCGAGAATGGAATCGTCGTGTGAATTGGTGCAATCCGCATGCGGAACCCTAGGTATGTACACCCTGCTGCCTCTACGATATATATCTACCCAAGAGGTATTTATCGAGCATGTTATGGCAAACGAATATATTTCAGGCCCCCGACAACGTCAATTAAAGTTAAGACCGAAGGAAAGCCCCGAACCTCCAAGGAAAAAAAAAAAATTCCCATCGAACCCACCTACACAGGTCTCGGGCATAGGTGACCACCTCCAGAGGTACCAGGTACCTAAGCACCCCCCTATAAATAGGCCCGAAAAGCACCGAAATGAGACACTTTAAATAAACACAGGGGGGCAAGACACCCCCTAAAGGTAGAGACAATGGACCCTCTAGCCAAAAATATTTCTCTCTCTTCCAATTTACGCCTTACTACCACCACCGAGATACATACTCTCCCGTACCTGCGACGCTGGGACCTGATCTCCGGACAAATCCTGCGAATCGATCCACCGGTCCCCCTGGTCCCCACCAGCGGTGTGGTGGGCACTGGACATGGATGCAACGGAGAAATAAGTTCGATGGAACACAGAGATATGCTTAATCTAACTCCAGATGCAGAGAGGCGGGGGGGCCGCTGGGCCTCTGCCCACTGCCCAGGTGGTGGACATGGATGCATCCACAACCCGTCCTGTCCATTCCCATCCGCTGGGCGTTGGCCCCCTCCTGGCCCCCCCTGTCCCCTGTCCAACACGAGGTGCACGACACGAGATAGGGGGGCCCACTCACCGGGTGAAGCTCATTCATTGATCATTTCATTCGCTCTTGATTTAGGATTTGGAGGGACTTGGAGGAGGCTTTGTTTTTGAGGAAACTTTACTTATTTCGGCGACTGTTATATCTTACATAGTAGATCCTATACACAGAGTGGACGGGTACGATGTACTGTGTTAACTAACTTTTGTTAGTAGTGAGTTTAACTTATTATTACGTTGTATGGACGGAGAACTCCGTCCAGAACGATTGAAGGATTATCACGTTTAAGCCCTTTTTACCGTGTCGGACGGGAGATCCAACGCACGTCGTGGAATTAACTCACATCGTGCACTCGGATCCCGAATCTTCGGGGCGTGGGAAGTTTATTTCCAGCCATTGACTTTCTCCTCTCTGCCTACTCGAGGTAGGAAAAAAAGAGAACAGACACACAGCCCTCTCTACGAACCGGTGAAAAACGTGTTGCCATTTCCGGCATTACCACGGTTGTATGCCGAGATACCCATGTTCACAGACCTCGAAGTCCGAGATTCTCTTTGTCTGCGACTTCATAGTAGTAGCGACTATTGCTATACAATTCACCCCTTTTACTTTGAGCCCCAGGCAGATTATCCTTATTTATTACATGCTTCAAAGCCACCCAGTCTAATACGTATAGCGCCAAAAAAGGCGTAAATTCAATCCGCTGCCGTCCTCACGGGACCAAGTAGTCGAATGGCGCATTGCGAGCCGCGACCGATCGACACTATCAGGGGCTTCTGCGACTGGCGTGTTCTGCCGAGGGATGATGTGTTGGTTCCTGAAAATATTGGGGCAGACCTCGCCACATGATGTTCTACGTAGGGCACTTTTTTTCTTGGTTGTTCCTGATTCTCTTACGTAGCCCTACTTGTAGTACCATAGAAAGGCATATTAAGCGAGAAAGGCAGGTTCGACAGGAATCGGACCAGAAAAGTGAATCTGTAGCGATGATTTATGAAACTGAATAATAAATTGGCATCATTGCAGTTATACATATCCTCGTTTCAAAGTGTCTCTCACGGATCTGTATGCCCTCGGGGAGAAGCCGATTTACAATATACGGTGAATAAATACAGTGCCAAGTGACGGTATTATTCGTCTCCATTTTGCCGTTTTACAGCGCGCCAGATCAGAACAGGATCTCCCCGCCACCAACACTCTTCAACCGCCATGGTTACCTTATTTCCATAGTCGTCAAGGACACCTGATATTCTGCATAGCTACCTAGGAACCACCACGGCCGGGCGGATAATGGCAAGATGGTCACCGTTTCGGGCTCCAATCATAAATGCCAGGCGTGGCTATGGGCGGCATGCACATTTCAGGCAGCCATGGATAGGTGTTTGTGTCCCTGGTTTACAAGCATTTGGAGTCAACTGCAGTAATGGGAACTGATGTCAGTACGAGATTACATGTTGTATGTATTTTACCAGCAGAACAATCTGATGGAATCTCCAAGAAGGGAAGGCGAGTTGTGGTATTTTTGCAAAATAATAGATACCACCAAAAATACGACTATAACCGAAAATGGAAAATATCTGGCAAAACTCATTCTGCAAACAGCCCTCCGTCCACGGTCGGCCTTCGCTGCGAACCATTGCTCTGGCATCTTGGAAGTTTCCTGGTAATATCTATATTAATGATCTAGGAATGGTTCGTTAGTTATGCCCTGGAGGATCCGAAACTCCATGACGCGGCTGGTATACAAGGGGGAAAAGAGTTTTAGCATACTCCGCTAGAATCATCTATCTCATCATGCGGTCCTGAATATTTTCGGAATATTGCATCCAACGTCCACGATACTCAAAATGATAATAATCATAAATGATTCCCAACTTAATTCAAGAATACGGTGTACACTGCCCGGAGGATAAAATCTGATTTGCCTGATAGTCGTTCCCGAGTCCATGGTTCGAGCGGTTACGTGGTGGCTCGAAGTAAACTACTCAAACCTACTTTTTGAAAGAACGTCCACAGAACGGTGCCGATTATCATTGACACTCGGTCCGCCGTGCGCCGTAAATCCGCGCTGGCAAGGAACCTATTATGTTAGATGATACTCCTATACTACTACCACAAAGCACTCACAAACTCCTCTGTCTATCGCGGACTTGGCATTGCGCGGTGTACCACTCCTCCCCGACCGTCTTGTTTTTCATTCCTCGTTGGCGCTCCACTTGTTCACCGTACCTGGAGACTGGAGTGTCTCCGCCGTGCTGTCAGGTCCCGTCGCATCAGCCCCAGCCTACAAATGTCATAGTCTTAAGGTTTTCCTGTGTGCTTTTTCCCCCCTTCTTGCTTGACCTTTCGGCGATGTAGTTATTTCTTAATCAGCGCGCGTACATGTCATCAACCCGGTACACATCCGAGGACCTTGGAGGCCACACGCAAAGCCGCTAGCCGGTCATGGCCCGGTTTCTCGACAAAAATCGACTAGGCTCGAGTTAACAATAACAGCGCCCGGCCTATGAGGTGAGTGGCGCTCGCGATCCTCTCGTCCGCTCGAGGCTGGGTGGAGCCATGATTGGCTGCAGGGGATCCTGAAACTCGGCGATCCGGACTTGGCTTCCAGGTGCTTTCCGGCCTGTGCCGGGCAAAGGCTCTCCCTCTCTGCTCTTGGAGTCGGATGAGCTTTACTCAACACGGGTTGGGGTTGGTTCCGTCGGAAGAGGGATTTTTTGCCTAATACAAAGTATATTTTTTTTCTTTGTATTTTTTTTAAACTTGCTACAGTAGTAGTAGTATGATGGTGTGTTGTCGCCTTGTCTTGCCTAGGAGGGCGAGCTACATATTTCGAGGCTACTGAATTAATATTCTTATAATTATTATTGTTAGTTACCGCCATTATTGCCCTCGTGATGTCTTGCTAGTTCGGCCGAGGTAGACAAAGGTTTTTCGGCTCAGGGCTGGCGGTGTAGTAGTTCTCGAGTAGGAGGGACTAGCTAGCTTTATACTCGGTTCATGACTCCATAATGAGAACGCCGTATGGAGGACGTAGCTTCGAAAGATGAAGCTATACCGCCAGAACGAGACTGGTGGCTGTAGACGGGGAATAGAAGACTAACTTACGGAAGAAGAGACACGAAAGAGGGGCATGATCGACACCGCGATCTGGCATCTAAGGCCGCTATTTAGCAGTTTTGCAATAATCGGCATGGCCACGGAGGGGACTCTGAAGCCCGCCCGATGCTCACTAGCAGCCCGGCTATCATAGCTTAACCAGCCTTCTGAGGAGTCCGTTCGGATAGCCCTACTGGCGGGGAACTAGTCGGCACATGGATGATGGATGGGGACAAAGGCAACCAAGGACCAAGCTTTGCGCGTAGCAAAATGCGCAGTAGTGAACTTGCTGCCGATCCTGAGTGGATTGAGGGAGATCTCGGGAGTCTATGGTAGCGATGTGTTCTGCAGCCGACGAAGGAAAGCCGTTGGTATGGCATTGTATGTACATAAAGTCTGCAAGGGATACATACGTACACGGGGATACTCCGGAGAACGAGAGTCGACTTCATCCATAAATTGGGTCAGTGCCAACTCACAAATATAACAAATACGAATGTTTTACTGCACTACTACTAAACTATAGTTCACTATGGACGACGATGGCCCAAGAAACGAAGAAATTCGGAACAGCCTCACCGTAGTTTGCGGGATGA